GGCAGCGGTCTGCCGGAGCACGGAGGAACTCAGCAGGATGCCGGTCCTACGGCTCGTGACCCCGATCCGCTCCGTGCGGTGGAGAAGCCGGAGCAGGTTCAAGTGCAAACGCAGCCCGTTCCCCACGAGAAGCGGACAGTTTCGACTCAGACGCAAAAACCGGCTCCAGTTGGGGAGCTTCCCGCTCCGGCTGTAGCTACGAAGCCGAAACTGTTCGACTTGTGGGAGTTGTACGAAGCTGTGACCCAAATGAAATCAGACAAAGCACAATCGGGATCAATTCTCGACTCGGATTTATTTTTCTTCGAAAAACAGTTCTCCGTCGCGGACGGGGTGTTCCAATGAAGGTTGTGTTCGACGAAAATCCTCGATCCCCCTCAACGTGATCGTGTTGTGAGGGGGCACGTCGGTTCGGATGGTTGCGATGCGAGAGCGAGGAGCTTCAACGGGATATGTTGTCTCACCCGGCGAGGGAATCGCTGAAATTCGCTGGTCACCTCCTCGCGCGTAATATAAAGATTTCAATGTTATTCTTGAAGTTTTGAGAGAGAAGTGGTTTCGAAATGAAGTCGAGCAGTTAGAGCATCAGCGATACCGGAAGGCCGCTACTCCGAGGACAACGAGGAGTTTTCTAATCTCTGATGAACACGCGTCCTCCGATCTCAATGTACATTTCATGCGGACAAGCCTTCCGGATCAGGCCGTGGAAGGAAGATTGCATCCCGGAGAGATGGCCACATGTCTCGGGCCGTACTCCAGGTCACCGCATCGAACCTGGAATGCATTTCCCGATGCGAGCCTCGGAGATACTCAAAGTTGTAAAAAACATCAAGTTTCAAGTTTTTGTAATAAAGCATGAACATAGAAGACGGAACCTATGAAAGCTCGTTTGATGCTAAGGCGGTCTCGTGGAGCCGATCCCCCGAAAACTCGCGAGTCACGTGAATACCTCCAAAGCTCAGCGGAATCTCGGGATACCTCCGATGAGGGGCTTTTGATCTGCGGGTGGGGTATCAGCGGACACAGGAACTCTCACAGCTGATCAAGACATTGAAACACCCTCGCAGTTCTCCACAGCAGCGGTCGCGGCCCAAAATGCCGCTGATCCATGCTAATAAGTTCAAGTTATGCTCATTTTTCACATTGTGACACCCCGCAAGCGCGAGCGAGGGAAGTATTTCACCGCAGAAACGGTCCATTGCCCCCGCGGTGAGTGCGGTGCGTTCTTGGTGGGCTCTAGGCTTGTAAGCTTCGAAGTCCGCGAATCAGTGCGAATCTACTCTGGAGACGGCACGTAGGGTAACCACAGAGATACGTCTACGAGAGAATATTCGAAACTTCGCGGTCAAGTGACGAACGGAACTCGGGAATCCCGAGCCGACTCGCAGCGTAGGAACCTCTCTGACAATAACTAGGAAGGCTCGGGAGTGATCCTTGCGTGTCGTCCAATTCTGCTCCCCTCTCTGTGAACGGGAATCCTTGTTGAAGTCTATTCACGAGAACTGATGACAAACGCATTCGTCTCTCCACCGATATTCCGGAAGCCTCCAGAAGGAACGGTATTTCCCAATTGGTGTACAAATATCCGGGACTTTCCTCCCGTATTCATTCATCGACAAGTGCGCCGCGAATCCCTAACACAATCGACCTGCTCCACCTTTCGAAGAAGAGAGAAGAGAACTGCTCAGATTGCAGGCATGTATTGGATATCATTAGATACCGTTGGGCAGAGCAGCGATTCATTCGATCCGAGCGGAGCGAGTCACCCGTAAAGGCGACATTTTTGGAAAGTAGGCACCGCCGAATTGGTGAAACGTCGATACTCGTGGGCTGAATCATCTTCCTCGGGCTCCGCCGACTGTTGGATCAATGGCGGGTACCTTGGTCGTACTCTCGCCTAACTGCGTCCCCGTCCGCCGCGTCGCTCTTCTTCCAACCAGTCGACTCCAGTGCTGACCGGAGCACGAACAGGCGGCCAGAGTGCGATCATCGAGCGAATGGAGCCATTGAAGAGCACAGACAGACGCATGCTCTTCTTGGAACCGATTCTCTGGAATCGAGAACGCTTGCTAGATAAATTCGATGCCCGTTCCAGAGCTTGCATAGAGCCGACCATCAAATGACTAGCCGACTCACCGACGATGGCTGAATCGAAGGTTCAGTTCGTTTCCTGGCTAGTTGGTCGCTCGACTCACACTCGCTCGTCTTACGCTGCACTCAAGGTTGAGCCGGGGATGCCTCACAACCCCGAAGGGGCTGCGTCCGCTGCAGTAAAGCGATTAAGGAGGCGGCTCATTATTTTCGATTCCATCCCCTCCCCAGAAATCCTCTATACCTCCCCCCAGGGCAGCTCGGGGGCGTCCGCCGGCATACGTCGGTTGTCCCTCTGGAGAATCGAACAGAACTGCGAGCTCCGAGAGCTTCAGCCAGCAGGGTCTCGATGGAGTTCTGCTTCCATCGTCCCCTTCGGTGCATGATGGAGCAGCTTCATATTTCCTGTCCCCCAACGGGTAAGCCCTCAAGACATGAGGACATTAATGGAAACAAACGGCTCGAACGGGGAGGAGCTCCACATAAACAAGTGACTGATGTTCCTCTGAAGCTCGCCGAGCTTCCTACTTTGCCGAGCAAGTGTCGAGCCCTCGGGCGTCTGGAGCCGGCTTCGCGTGCGATCTGGACAAATTACTCGGAGCGTCAGTTCTCCTGACTGAGTGGAGACTACGAGTAGCATCCGATGGTCCCGCGTTTGCCCGCCCCGTGACCCGTGACGAGAAATCCGGATGAACCCGCAACCTGAATGGAGTATCTCACCTCTGCCCGAACGCCTCGTGTTGATCTCGATTAGACTAATCCGTGCATTCGGTGAACAGAGGCATACATTAGGCTCAAACTGTTTTACCTGAGATCGGAAGCTAATTACCGCCAATAACGACGAGAAATACTCCCAAATCGCGTTGACGGGAAAATTCCCTCGCGACGGTCGGGCTTCCTACTAGACCCGAGCCTAATGTCGAGCCCGAAGTAGAATTATTGAGTCTGGTTTCTCGAGTTTGCCGATCGCGACGAGGTCAGAGATGCGACGCCAGAAAGGCGCCGCTCCGCATCCGCGCAAATTGAAGCGACTCAGGAAGCGCAGGGTAGTGGATGGAATTGCGAAACGCCATTCCGAAACTCATTCGGAAGACTATATGGCAATCCTCGGGCCTGGCGTATGACAACAGGCCACCTGCAGCGACATTCTGATCAACGATTCCTGTTCTGGAATGCACTCGACCGCCGCGGCGGCAGAAATTGCCGTGACAACAGGCTGCAGACGACTGCGCGTGCGAGGGAAGTCTTCTCGTGTGCGGCGCAGAACCTCGCGACGTTGCGCGCGTTCTATCATTACGCTTTCGAAGGCACAGTCCGGATGCTTTCGTCTCGTCGTTCTGCTCGCTGTTCTGTCGCCGACCTTCATTCTCAGCGTCCGCATTCTTCTACTTAGTGCTGAGATTGAAAGTCATAAAAAACTTTATTTCGGAACCTTTGTGAACCCCGCTCCGGAGCTGCTCTGAAATGGAGCCGGCAAATCAACGGAAGTTATTAAAGTTGATCGCTCCGCTCTCATCCGAGGGTCGCTCCGACTGGCTGCCGCCTGCGTGTTGCTCGAGATACTCTGAGGTGTGCCTTGCGTTGCCGATCCAATCAACGAGAGGAGGCTGTCTGCAGGTCCGAGAGTCGGCTCCAGGATCTTCCTGTCGCTCGGAGTTCGCTTTGTGGGGCCCACGCGTGCGCATCCCGATCGAAGCGTGTCGTGTTGCTATCGAAACTCTACTCGGTAGACTCTCGGTACTTTCGGTAGGCTCACCGCGGTCCGAGATTCGTCTCTCTTGAAAATCCTGCAGTGTGAGGAGTTATTAGAGGACTCCGAAAGTCCGCTCATCTGTTTTTGGCGTCCCTGAGTGATGTGAGACGGGTTCCCTCGGCTTCGGGGCGACGTTCGACGAGCGCGGCGCAGCGCTCGATATAAATCGCGTCCGGAATTTCGCGGATCACAAATCTGGCTCGCGACATGCTCACAGGGGAGTCATGGGATTATTGAGGGACTCCGAGACGGGGTCAAACTGCGTCGGACAGATCCTCCTATGATACGACTATCGTGGAGCCGCGGAGCACATTCCAGAACGGGCTGGGAATAATTGCATGCGTTGGGAATTCTCGTAGCTGCGAGGTTGGAGAAGAAAGATTGGAATGCAAGACGATTTTTTTCCGACGGCCCGTCCTCGTGATTTCTCCCGATGGCATCAGATGGAGCAACCCGAAGCACCTGAGCGGAATCCTTTCGAGTGAACACATCGATGGAATGGCGTGACGAGAGCTAGTTTTTCCCGCAGTTATTTATTTGGAAACCAGAAGAACAGTTTTCGATTAGCACTCTCCCAGGAGCCATCAGAGCTGCTTCTCTGCTGATTCCTTCCCTCTCCGGACTCCCGAATCCCGGCTCGGCCCCTGCATGTCCGAAATCCAGCGAGAAACCCAAAATGCCATCGAGTCACTGCGTCCAGTTCACGCTTCGGAGATTATTATTCGTACGATCTCCCAATGAGTCAACACAGCCATCCTCTGCCATTTGCCTGTCGAAAGGTCGGAGCTCCGAAGCGCTCGCTGGCTACGGCGAGTTCTCACTCGAAGGCACGTCGACGCGACCGTAGGACCTGGAGACATCTGAGCTCAGCTTGGAGAGGAACTCCGAGGAGAAGAATTTCTCGACCCCGGTCTTGTTCCTTGGAACCTCCGAACTGGTAGCGGATCTTCCAAGTCGCGCTCGAGAAAAAGGTAGCCTGACGTTTGTCGAGGGCCGGGAAGTGCTTCGGAAGCACTTTTTCGCTAAAAGCAAGCACGACTGTTTACGAATGTCTGTACGTGCGAATCCTGGCTGAGTGCAGGAAATCATGCAGCTCCTCAGATGGTCGCTGTTTCGGCCTAACAATGGAGGCAGACCGACATTTGAATAACAAAGGCTTGCTTTATTCGAATCTTAGAGCTGGGCGTTGCTGAATGACTCCACCTTCTCCATGTAGAGCTTGTACCATTCGTGCGCCAGATAGAAAAAGCTTGCGTCCAGGTTGCTACCATCTCGAGCAGAGCACTCGAAATACTGCAAACCCAGCTCTTTGGCCAAGGACTCTCCTTGCGCGAGCGTGACCGTTCGGCGATTGGACAAATCTGTTTTACATGCTAGCAGTACACCTGAAAAGATGAATGTTCCCGTTTCTGATTGCGTAAAACGATTCAAACCGCATCCATGTACAATATGAATCAGAATGACCGCAGCACCGAATGTGGGATGCTCCTGAGTAGCCTTTGTGCATCTTGTGTGCCAATCCTTGACAGATCGGAAACTCGCTTCCGATGTCACGTCGTAAGCCACGATGATCAGGGTGACGTCACTCCACTGGAATTGAATCGATAGCGATGCTCGACGCTCGACACTCGGCAACTAGGAACAATATCAATATTTTTGTTTTTTGACGCTTTCCGATACGAACTCGGCAACGCTCTGTGTTTGTGTTCTTTTCACCGAGTTGAGAGGGTTCCTCAACTCTTCTGCGTTGACCCGGACGCTCCGCATCGGCACATCATTTGATCTCTGCGAAATTCCATGATATCACACTCACCAAACGATCGAGAATGTCGCAGTAGAGCTGTTTGCCAGAGCAGTCGTGAACGAAAATATCCTACGAATTGTAAACAGATATTTCCATCGAGCGGCGGGGATAATTCCAGCGTCTCAAGTATCCGTGCTGATTTTGCGGAATACCAGATAATTTTGAGAATACACGAATATTGAGTCTTGAGTCATGAGGAGCTTGAACACTTACGACTTTGTATTTCGTGTCTGGTATCCGCACTGATTTTACCGAAATTTTGCAACCGAGAGTCTGTAATGGGTCCTCTGTTTTACACGGAGCTCATGCCAGGAGAAAGTCACTCCCTTCGCGGTAGCGCTTAAATCAGGTAAGTACGAAGGAACCGACATCGGCATGCTCACCATTTCATAGTTCTTGCCCGAGTTTTCAGGATTGATCACCGACGTTTTCCCGACGCAGGAATCTCCTGGGGAATAGGTGCTAATAAAATATCGCGAGTGGAATGGAATCGATGCTCCTCGCGAGGGGGAAAGCAGAACCGATCGTTCTGGAGGAGCATTCTTTTTATCGATAACGAAGAAATAGGAGAGGAGGAGGTACTCGGACCCATACGGCTTCCCGCGCGCAGCAAAAACGCTCTGCTGCCATCGAAATTCAACACTGTTCACGTCACTCACCAATGATCGCGCAATTCGTTCGGAGAACGTTCGACATATCTGCAGATTCTCAGCTTTTATTCGAAATCGTCGGAGTCGGCTCCGACTGCAGACTGAAACAGGAGTTCATCATTCATCTGTATCCATGGAGACAGGCCTCGACGGTGACATCCCCCAGAGTCGGGGGCAGGGTCCTGAGTGGGAGTCTGCGCTGAAACATTCCCTATGTCGTGCCAAAAAACGCGAACTTGACCTTTGAATTTGTTTTTTGAATAGAATAGAACCTCGCATCCGTCGTGACAGCCCTTTGAAAAGAAAAAAAACATGAGAGCTTCAACATCTGTGGAGACACTGAGTTGTCCTGACAACGCCGAACATCAGAGCGGGGTGAAACAAGGATTCGTCCCGGAGTCATCGTGGATCGACCTCGATTTCCACATTGACCTCATCGCTCGGCTTGAAATTGACAGCTCTGCGAGAGCCAAGGGGAGTGACAGAAGAAACCTGCAAATCGGGTGACTTGATCGGAAATTCCATATCTCTTGCCGAATACTCCGGATCAGTGCACGACAAGAATCGTACAAGCTTGCGGCCGTGTATAATACACAAGCCGTACGAATCGACGATCGGTCGCAATAGGAGCCTAGCTAACGTCACAATGATTGTCCTCGGTTCCGTGAAGATGGCCATCTCGGAGGTGTGCAACACATACAAGCGCGAGAGCAGTATTTTACTGAAGAGGTTCGTATCTCTCAGTTTCGTGTTTCAGTTCGTTCAATGTCTCTCTCGTCGATCGTGCGAAAATTGTAGTAGATAGTTTCATAGTACACCACGACCACCGAAGACGTTTTCCTTGTTCGTAGTGCCCAGAATATTTCCTTATACGCAGGTCGGTGAGTCCCGGATGGAACAACTTGTCGACGATTCACCTCGGGGGCAGAGCTCGCATGAGCTACAGACACCGCGACTCGGTGTGCATCGTCTCGAAAGATGAGGACGCCATGCTGGATCATGCCGTTGTCAAAAGCAAAGAGCTGGTAAAGTATCGCTCGCTCTTGTTCAGCCCACCCGAGGCAGAAATTGGCTCGAGTTATCTGAGATCGATCGGGGGAGCGTCAGACTCAGCTCTCCGGCTCCTTTCCAGCATCACACCTTATCGGAAAGCGAAGACACCGCCGTCGGTAGCGGCTCGCCCCAGGGGGATTTGACAGACTCGAAGTGGGTTTCTCTGCGAGAGAATCAAGCCGTTCTTGTCGCGCTGTCTCCACGAGGCATCCAGTTCTATGAGTGGGACGGCTCGGAGTTCCTGCACTATCATCAAATCAACCAACCCGAGGAGGGCTTGAAGGTTTTCCCGAGAGGTGCGTGATTCCTAAGCTGGGATCCGAGCCCGGTCCGCGTCGAGAATTAGCCCGTGGGCTTTGGACGACACGAATGATGCTCACGGAAGTCGGAAATTCCAGGTGTGGGGCTCTGCGGCGACTCGCTCATATGCGTCGGGCTTTCCAATGGTGCGCTTCTCGTATTCGACGTCCAGCTCGGTAAAGAGGACGGTGCAGTGAGTCTCCGGGAGACGATCATCGAGCATCAGAGCGCGATTTCCGACATCCACGGAACCTCGGAAGTCACAGCTAGCTGTGACGAGTTGGGAACCGTCGCTCTCTGGGCGGGGAAAACAGGCGAGTAAATCCAGATCATCCGGAAGTTTATTATGCCTGGGATTGAGGATCGATCATCTGATCATCAGGGATGTTTCACTCGTCCAGGTCTGAGTAAACTTGGAGTCCTAGATGCGAGTCGCGGTCGCTCCGAACCGTGCACCTCATTAAGAGTTTTCGGAGATTTGGTGTGCGTCGCGATGGCAACAGGCTACATCCGGATCTTCAATGTGAACTCCCTAACATTGAAGTGTGAAGTCACTGCTCACGCCAGATGGATAACGGCTCTGGATATCGCACCCGAAACCGGTCTATTGGTCTCTGGTAAGAGAATCAGTCCATATCCTAAGCCGGCCGTATCTCCCTTTGTGTCAGAAGGCCGTCTATTCTTCTCGCTCCGGAAGCTCGGGGAGATACTTCTGGAATCAACGTGACCGCAAGTCTATGATGGAAAATGCCCTAACTCATTCCTTGCCTTACAGTTTCGGAAGACGCTTTCATCAGAGTTTGGCAATTGCATCCCGACCCAGCATCTCAGAAAACCATCACACCTGTTTGGAATTATTTTCTGGAAGATGCGCAACTTTTTGGAGTCGCCTTCCTCGACCCAGCTGGCGACGCCATTGCTGTCGCCCCATATGATTTGTATGAGTTGTTCTTGTTCGAGAAAGAAGAATGCTGATTCACGGACGCAGGTCGATTCCGGACCTCCCAGAACCTCTCTCTGATTTTCCGAAGTTTAGCGGGATTATCAGATCATAGGATAAGATGCGCCGAGCAGTAGCCTCACGTGGCGATTTCGGACGGCCTGGGAAGCTCAAGCGAATGATGCATTTTTATGCGGCTCATCAACGTCGGGTTTCCAACGACACGAGGGGAAACTCTCTACATAATGGTCATTGCGGTCGAGACCCTGAATTACTTATGCGGGGACGACATCGAATGATGAATCACCGTTCATTTACTCGAGGAATAAATTATTATTCTTAGATCATTTATTTTTTCGATTTGCCGACTTTCTCTCTCCGTTTCTTGATATGCTTAGGCACTTTATCTTTTCGCTTTTCCCGGGCTGCGTCCTTCACGGCTTTCTTGCGCTCCCGCTTCTCATCCACAGATTCGTCCTTGGGTCTGCCGAGAGGTTTTCGAACCTTCTTCTCGTCAACGTCGAAGTCATCATCTTTTTCATCCCCGACGAACTCGTTATCCTCGTCGTCGTCTTCGTCGCTGCCGTCGTCACTCGAGCTCCGTGGATCATCTTTCGGTCTCTCGTTCTCTTCGACTTTCCTCAAGCCAGTGAGTGTTTTATACAGGAGATCTTCGCCCTGCTGGAATTTCTCCACCTCGCGCTCATAGTCGATGACTTGGTCGAGTCTTTGGGGAATGTAGGAATTCTTGAAAACTTCCTCTTCCACCTGGATATCTTTTGGGTCGAGCACGCCCCGTTCACCAGCAAGCCCTGCCATGCGTTCAAGGTACTGGTCGACACCATCTGAAATTAACGGGTCCACGACGAAATCGAAGAGCTCCCGGACGGTCATCGTCGCGACGCCGCACCGGGAGAAGAAGTCTGTCACGTTCGTCAGATCCTGGAACATCAATCTTCGTCAACATACCACCTTAGCTCGGGGGATTGCGCGAGCCCATGAGTCGCGGAAGCGAGAATCATACTGATTTCCTCTTTTGCTCATACCTTCCTCAGGAAGACTAATGCGTTCGGATGGTCGTGCTCGACGCTCTGAGAAACGTCGATGAACACAATCTGTCCCTCATGGTACAACAAATTATATTCCGAGAGATCGGCGTGCACCAGACGGCATTCGTGGAACATTTTTCTGATGTTAATGATCAGATCTCTGTACAGTTCCCTGGCTTTGGACTCTGTCAGAGGGACGTCTTTCAGCTTTGGAGCCGGCCAACCATCCTTGCCGACGAAATCCATCACGAGGACATGCGATCTCAGCAGACGAGGTTTGGGACAAGGGATCCCGGATCGTTCAATCCTCGTCAGATTCCGCATTTCCTTTTCGGCCCACAATCGAACCATTTTTCGAGGGTTCCCCGAGCAATACCTGAGGATAATTTGGTTTCGATAAGTACAGGATCCCGACGGGAGGTTTAGCTCTCAGGGAGAACCACACAGACGCCCTTGAATCTGAGAGGATTGCAAACTTTATGGAATCCGAGACGACTACGAACCCCCCGCGGAAGCGAAATTCGCCGCTCACGTAGCGATCGCGGTCTTTGAAGATGAGGATGGACGTTTTGTAAACTTTTATGGCCATGTGATCCTCGCCGGTCGAGGCGTGATAGACGTTGGCTTCCTTGCCAGTCGAGATACATCCATTGATTTCCCCAAGGACCCCTCTGCTGAGCAGTTTGAAGAGGATCATGCGGGTTCTCTTGTCCAAGACCTGTTCGACTGTAGCTCTCTCCATCTGCAAGGGAAGCGAAGAGTCCCAGTTGATGTTGGATTTATTAGGCTCCGTTTCGTCATCACGTACGAGAGTGTTGCTGTTAACAGCTTGGCTCAGTAGGTCAATGTCAAGAACTGTTCGAATGACCATTCCGCAGTGATCTTACCCGCTGGATATTCACCGGGACGTAATTCCGTATATACTTGACACGGATCGAGCTTCACTGACCTTGTCTTTTATTCGTATCCGGTCGTTTTCAGATTTCCTCTGTTGCTCGCTCACATGATTCATTGCTTGTTTTGGCACCCACATAGAGTCCAGATTCACTTTCGACAGGAATTTACCAGCCATCACCTGGAGAAAGGGATTGGTCCATCGAATCGAGATCGACAAAACCACAGCAGTTTCTTGCACCAATGGTTCGAGATGTCCCGAGTAGTGTTACGAACGCGAGAGAAGGTCCTCTCGAATCGGATCGAGTTGAGTATTCGACGAACCTTTTGTTGATCTTGGAAATGCACCTGACGATTGCATTGAGCGAAACACTGTTTCCGAACATCATCGCGCTCTTCGAAATCATCAGAATAATAGTCATCATCGTCATCTGTGTACTCTTCTTGACTGAGATTGAGCTTATCCATATTCAGCTGTCCCTGGTCAGCTACGTCGTCTTCCGTTGCATCGTCTGTGAACGAGGAGAAGCATCAACATCAAGAGGAGTGTGAGTCTAGGGTACCGTGGAAAAGTTGGGGACGCCATTCCTCAGGCCTTCCATTGGGAAAAACACAGCATGCCAGAGACTGCCTGGGCGAACTTTTCCGTGTTATTGCGGGGAAAATAGAGATGGGAAGCCCTCGAAAGTCTGCCTTCTTTTGCCCGAGCAGATCCGCCAGAGCAGCCGTCTCGACTTCAGGATACAAAGCAGCGTATGATTTTCATTCTGATTCGCTTGATCATATTAGTAGCGGTCCGACAAGAGAGATCCGCACCATGGGAATGCAGGACGAGCTTTTCCCCGGAGTTCCATCGAACTACACTCTGAATAAGATCTCCACAAAGTGCGAATAAGCCGAAGCACACTCACCAAACTGGCCCGGATGGAATTCGGAACCTGACATGGTCTTCACGGACCGGACTTCTATGAGTGCCGGAGGACGACAGAACGGATCGAACGCAAACGAAATTAGAATTTTCTTTTCCGCATCAAGAGCGTTCCTTTTCCGTGTGTTTCTGCCGGGGTCCGTCCACTAGCACCATGAAGGATTCGGTTACCCTTACCCAAGAGACTGCCAGCCTTCAACAGCCACGTGCTCTGCGCCAACCAAAACATGGCGCAATAATTCAAATCTCATTCAGTGCGCGACATCTCAGATTTATTCAAAAACAAATGCTTCAGCTAAGGACGCGGGAGTGGATGTATGCGATGAAATATATCGATCCATCTTTTATTCCAGGACTTTCTGGAAACGGAAAAATGGCTGGCGACATGAGTTGTAGCCTCTCGCTCCGAGTTGCTCCACCCCGATGTAAACACTGACCTGGGTTCGGAGTCGATCTTGGGGCCTCGACGCATGCGCTGGGCAAGCTGATTCGTAGCGTTTCTGACATGTTCGCGTCTTAGTATTCGCTGCGTACGTCTCGAAGCAGGGTTCGAGGCCTTTCGGAAGCTTCCGAGAGGCGAACATAACGAGCGAAACCCTTTCCAGCAGCAAGAGAATCACCACCGGTCGCGTCTAGCAGCTGGAATCGCTGACAAGTGTTTCGTTCGACCGAGGTAAGTTCCCCGCACGATGACCGAATTGTATAGATAGGGCATAGGGAGCCTTTCTCCGTAGTTCCGATATTCACTTCGATGACGGAGACTTCGAGAGACGCTCAATCGTAAGGCCCTCGATCGCGAGAGGCGCTGTACACGCCCACAAGCGCACGAAGTGCGCTCACATGTAGGGGGAACAGCACGATTGGCTAATGCAGTGCGATCGGGTGTCTAAATGGACTCCCTCCCTTTCTTTTGCGGTACCCCGAGCTCCTCTGAGGGGAATCTCGTCGTTCTCTCATTAGGTACGTTCCGAGAGCAAAAATTCCGAAAGTCGAAGTTTCGAGTGAAAGCTCGCTCGCGATCATCAATCACCGGGCGAGGATCGATTCTCCGAGAGCTCGGTGGCCGCGCTTTGCTCGTCGACAGACATATATCCAGAATCGACATGATCTCCATTGCTTCGTCGGTTTAGTGCCCGTCGGCCAGAGGGCCAAGTCCCGAGACGAAGCGGAGAAACGAGCTCGCGATCGAGTCATCTCGCACCATTTGACAGAGTTCTCGAAGTGATCGAAGGTCTCTACGCCACAACGTCGGAGTTCCGCTCTTGAAGCGCTCTCGGATGAATCTCGAAAGGACGCACACTTTCGGATATTCGATGCTCCTCTATTTGGAGGGACTAACGGTCGCGTTCGCGGAACTGGTAGTCGTAGCTGACTGCCATCGGCGAGACTATCCGATAGTCAGTTCTTCTGGTGGGGCGCATGTGACACTCGAGGAGTCGGACGAGATGAGCGGTCTGTACCTTGAAATGCTTCTTGGAAATGCAGACGGAGTTCAAGTATGGGTTCATTTCGAGCGCTTTCGTGATGCATCGGGCTCGGTAATTGGTTTCCGCTGCGTAAGCAGTCGTGTGTAATCTTTCGCCGCTCCTCTAGAAATACAGCGAGCTTATTGTCTGTTTTCTACTCCGACTGAGTGAGGGACTGGATGAATCGGTGCCTCGCAATCACTGATCGGTATCGAGGCTCTCTCTTGGACCCCGTCAACTCGTCAACCGTCTGGGGCGCAGTGCAGTCATCAAGCTGCACATTGACGGGTCATTAGAGCGTTCGTCTTACTCTCGTCATTATCGGGCGGGCAGCGAAATGAAATGTCAAATAATGACCTGTTCGCCGGAATAAACAACCACGAAGAGTCCGTTTTTTTCCGGATCGTGGAAATTCGCGAAGCGCGGGGCCAGACTCGGTGGAAGGCAGATGACAGACGCGGGAAGATGAGGTCAACATCTTCAGCGATCGGATCGAGCGGCGATTCCTTCTCTCATCAGAGCGGTTTATTGCTCTGCGATTGCTCACTCAAGTACGGCGGGTGACCTTATTTTCTGCGACAAGTTGCTTAGCTTCCTTCTATCCTATTTATTTCGCTCGCCTGTTGTTCCGATATCTCGAATGCCTTGTGTCAAATTACGGATCGTTGTCCTCGGCTGTCAATCGCGCGAGTGACTTGCCCGCAGTGCCGAATGGACACTTCCACGAAGCCCGCAGGAAGACCGAATCACGGCGAGCTTATGTCGTGTGAGAAACAAGTCGTTCGCTCACGGTCGCTCCTGGTGCTCCAGCCTCCTGCATCGCGAGAATATATCTGGAGGTGTACCCGGGTCCGGACACCGACTCGTTGCAGGAGACAGGGCTATAATCGGAGCGCCGATCGTCGGACTCATTAGACCGGCGATGAACCGAGAAGGACTTTCCTTTTCTCAACGCAAACACTCGGTTGCGTCTTGTTTTTGTATTTGATTCTATGATGCGCGTGCAGAGTGTCTCGTTTCCAAGGACAGGGTTACCCCGATGACGCCGTGCGGAAACATTGACCCGCACAGTCACCTGGACAACATCGTCCTCGCATCGTCACGCTCTCAGCGCGAAATCGAAACACAAACTGTGGCGCTGAATGAGCTGATTCGCCGCTTCCCAGTGCAAAGGGCGGAGATCCTCAAGACAGACCACGAATCGACTTCAATCCTATCTGCTACAAATTTCGACATCGAGCAACAACAATTCACGTGCATTGAGCGAGCGGGCTCAATAGCCTGCGAGACTGCGCGGCGATAGCTTATCAAAATGGCTCGACTAGCACTTTTGCTCCGAGGCCACTCGTTGAGAACGGAGAATAAGGAAGGACCGCGCGGTCGACTGTTTCCACATGCTAGACAGCGTATCTTCAATTATTTAGGTCGGAGCACTCACCTGTTCGAGCACGGTGTTTTCAAGTTTTGCACAAACAGATTTGTTGTCTCGGCTGGGGCTGGGATGCGGAATGAATCATTGAACCCTTGGGCCGTTCTGCAGCAACCGGGGAGCTGACAAAGACAACAACACGGGATTGTCCGCGAAATTATCATTATCGCCCCGAAAGAGTTTCTCCGGTTTCTTCTAAATCGTCTCAATCGGCGATTAAGACGTAGCACATTTTGGGCGAATGAGGGGTGGCACACAATCAGTGAGAGATCGTCACGTTTCAGCCCGTTTTGTGAGCCGGAGCATACTTTGATTTCACCTTGTGTTTCGGCACGAGGGTAAACATCCATTCTCGAAGGATCCCGGTTGAGTCGAACCCCGCGTCGGTTCGCTCATATTCTTCCCGAAGCGACTCCGGTCATGAAAGCAAGCTCTCCCGAATACCCATGTCTCAATTTTGCGTGATCATAGATCAGGGTGGATAGAAGAAGGACACTTCAGTTTCAAAGGCGGGATCGGCGGCAGTAGTAGAGAATATAAATCATCGAACCGACAGGGATTGGGCTCTTCGAGCCTGAGGGGATTGGTTTTTCAATCTTTTGAATTTCGACATCATCGGACTTGCCTCGTTGCGTCCATATTTGAAAGTATCTGGATTTATAACCTCATAGAAACTGGGGAATATCGCTTCCGGAATCTGCGATCTGATGAAAAGCCCATCCCTTCCTTCTATAGATCGGAAGGCAATCATCCGGCAATTCAACGCTCGCTCGAATCGCCCGTGAGCGACCAGCCTCCCCCCCTCGAATATGGTTCCCGTCAGATTCACTTAATTAGGACGTGGTATCATATCCGAAAGCTTGGCATCCCTGCGGCGACGATCTGACGATCGGGAGAAACGCTCAGAGCCAACTGTGGGCCCACGTACCGATTAGGTCACAGAATTCAAACGCCTTTCAGAAATCAAAGCTCGAGAGATCTTGGGACTTTCCTCCCTCTATGGTGGATTTTCGAGTCGACATACGGCTCGAGGCTCTCGTGGTTAGAAATAATCTCAAGGTACCGTCACCCTTCACAAGCAGTCCCGATATTGCCGGAGGGATTGTTCGGGGTGAAATAACTGCGATTTTCGATCATGATATCGAAAGGAACATAAACGCGGTCCGACCCGCGGGTCGAATTTTCGGAGTTCAACTAGATCCTTCCGCTATCGACTTTTCCTTTTTCACCAGCACCTTGTCGGCTTCGTTGTCGATGTGGAGCCATTTTCTTTCCTGATTGAAGAAAAACGAAATTTCCCGAAAGCGTCCATGTCCCTGAGACGAAACGTGTTCTCTTGAAATCCCTGACTGAGCCTAACTCTCAATGTGCTGATATCACACAGCCGGCTAGCTCCAGCTGATCGGGACCTGAAAGAGCTGTTCGGAAAGCTCCCTCGAGTTGCGAGCTGAATTAGATGTGTGTGCCATTCAAAGCGATAATTTTAGACCCTGCACCGCGCTCTCAAAGTATCCATGATCGAACCATTAAAATCAATCCAGACATGAAGAGGCGCTGAATTGTTTCATATGACATGGCACACCCGATACACTGCTGGTCTCGCTCGTGGGGAGGGTTTCACATTGTACCGACGAGGTGGGAGAGGAACAAATCTCTCACTCGCGGTCTCCGACAGTGATTTCCAGATGCTGAGTTAGAGCTTGAATGAACGGTCCACTGAGCTGAGCTCCGCACTTCATTCCGCAGGTTCGACAAGAAGATACCTGACCGCGTCTGACTCGATTTCTATTCAGACCAGACTTCTTCACTGAAGGTAAGTTTCCCGATCTTTAGATCCCGATTCCTTAGTTAGTTCATCGTATCCGGTCTCGCTCGCTACAGCCCTCGATTGCGTCCGAGTTGGTATTCCAAAGGATTCCAAAAGTGTGTAGGGTCGATTAAGATGATCCAGGCGCCGTATATAGTTTTTGCGTCCTTCCGGGCAGGCTGTCCTTGTTTCTGCATGGAGATCGTCACCGATACACTCCGGGACAATTTGACGAACGGAGGGATTGACGCAACCAAATACGGATGAGTCGAGCTTCTACGATGACTCGCTCACGAAAACGCGAAATTTGTTGGGCTATGAATTATGAATGATGCAATGACTATTTCGAGGACGCTACCCTCGGTGTCTCTCATCAGATACGGGCGCGGTATGGCTAGTGGCGACAGTGTCAGTTTAGATAGGAGCCATCGTGATTTTTCGCACTGCTTGAAGCGAGAGCGTTTCCTCGTAAGCTTACTCTCCCGTTTCTCCTCTGAATCTCGGACGGGATTGCCGAGCGGCTGGGGATGCGGCAAGTTCCGGTGAGACGGTTCCCCTTCCGCGTCGAATCGACGATTGAGAGCACGTGCTCCACGGAGCGAGAAAAACTCGCGCCGCGCGTTTTGATTGCCAAGATTTTCGCGCAGCTCTCGAGATCTAGAGTGTCTTGAAGCAGAGAGCCGGGGATTGACTCAGTCCGACGGTGAAATCTTGATGGCTATTGGGCTATCTACCAAGCGATCGTATTCTGCGATTCGGTGTCTGTACCATGGTGTCTGACCTGGAGGAATCGAGTCAGAGTCGAATATTCTCGCATTTAGTTCGTTTTCTGCATCGCGATCCGGGTGCCGCTCGTGTTGCTCCATTCGGGATAGAGGAACTGCACGAGCCACACGAAGAGGGTCAGCTCGAACCGCGCCGTGAGGCCGTACACAGTCAGAGCGAAACGGGTCAGGCTGCCGAGCTTTAGACGAGAGCGTTCAATGTACCCTGGCTCGGGCACCGGTTCAAACCGGTCTGACTTCGCTATGCTCTCCGAAGTGGGTGATGTCATGCCTCTTCTATGTCGGTTAGCATGGCAGTGCGTATTCCAAGGGATTCATTGCAAGAGATAGGAACGAGAGTCAGACGGTGCGACGGAAAGCGATAAATGATCTCCTGTGGGTGATAAATAAATCTAGAGCCGTCTTATTCGCTTACAGATGTTAAATCAACGACAAGTTTTGTTGCGCGTCCAGGCTCAGGCCGGTGCAGGGGAATCCCTCTGGGTCAGCGGGAGCATTCCGGCTTTGGGGAACTGGCATGTGGACAATGCTCTAGCCATGCAGATGGACGATCCCATGAGGTGAGCTCAATAATTAAAAACTGTGCCCGTGGACCCGCGCATCGAATACAGACCCTCCGTAATGGAATCTACGGCCCTCGCGATCGTGCACGGTCTCCTACTCGAAATCGGGAGCTCATCATTTCCGATCCTAATCTCCGCAAATGTTTACGATTCCACCCCTAGTGTATCTCTTCGCCGTGCAGCGGTCTAATTGCTTTTATTGCAGCCATCTCTGGTCGGTCAAGGTTCAAATACCGCAGGAACAGACAGTCGAATTTCGTTATTTGATTTGCCGCGTCCTCGACGGCGGGGAAAAAATTGTGAGCCGCTGGGAGTCCATCGTACACCCGAGGAGCATCTCCACGAATGAGCTCACCGTCGACCGAAATGCGGCCATCGACATTTTCGGGAGCTACGGTAGGTTCGAAATAGATGCCAATCCTTCTTCATGATGTCTTGTGATCAAGTGTTATTCTCGGCACTCCACCCCGGCGCCCGCAAACATCGTTGATGTATGCACGAACCAGTCGAGGCTGAACAGCAAGCAGAAAAAAGGCTTTCTTTTATTGACTGGACCTCGCTCTCGATTTGCAGATGGCGTTGAACAAGTCCAGCAAGGTTGGCTAACGCACGAAACCTTAGTGCAGCTGAAATTTTTCAACTCACCCGTAGCGATATGGAAGAAGAAGTTGCGGAAGGCGAAAATCTCCTTCAAGGTATCGCCCATCGACCTGGTCAGAAAAATGAGTGCTTTTCACGCGAATGTAAGTAAATCTTTCCTAATGATTTGAGTAATGGCTTCGCGTCTAGCCGTTGTGTGTCAATGACCTTGGTAAGGTTCGCCAGTCGGAGCGGCGGCCGTAGCGCTACACTACCGCCGCTACGCTGGAATCAATTAGAGTAGAGGCGACGGACAAACGATAAAGCTTGGCGAAGATGGGTCATTGGCTAATAAATACCTCGTGGAGTGGCGGATAAGCGGAAATCTACCAATCCTCTGACAAGGGAAACAAAGGAAGGAAGAGGATTGACTGCCAATTCGAGAAAAGACTTAGCCAATAGGTGAAAACGATTGCTCGACTGTGGCAACCCATCCGCCGTCAGCCCACAAGTGTTCCGATAGCGCAAAGGGCGCAGAGCAAACTCCAACTATCGTTACCGGGCACCACCACGCGATGACCTTGCGCGGAGCTTAACCATTGATATTGACGATACGAGATATGATTTGAGAGACTATACGCTAATATCTAAAAATTCCAAAAATACGCATATGATCCTGGCAACGCATCGCCGCTTGTCCATCGAGGGACCGATTTTCCATTGGTGCGCTCGTGGCCAAAGCTTCCGATTGACCTCGAGGTCACCGCAGATCCCGTCGGACACTCTGGAAGGAATCGATATCCCCTTGAGGGATAACCGTTGGGTTTCCGCCAGTATTATAATTGTCGACTCGGGCGGGACTCCTCCAGGATGGCTCTCAGTTAGTCAAGGGACTGAGTTATTCTAAGACCTGAATGAATACGAGTTGCTCATCGAGATATGGTGAAAACGAGGGAGGACGTCACTCGTTTGAGAACTAAACCGATTTTCTTCCTTTGCAGGCGTCTCTGGCTTCCATGGCCGACGACAGCGAACAACAGTCAAATTTCAGCGACCAGCAGGATGGTCGCTTCCCGAGTGTAGAAATCGCCGTAATGAGCGAAGGCCAAGACGAATTTACACCTCAAGAACAGTTTGGGCATGTGTACAATGCCAAAGAATTCGTCATCGCCCAAACAGTAGCCCCCAACCCCGACTCATTGGTAAGACTCGCCGTTTTCGGTTTCATGATGGGACCCCCTCCTCCCGCTCACTGGCCCACGCTTCTCACGTTTCCCATGCTATCCTCATGCTCCCTGCAGTAGAATGCTCTCAGCATGCTCCCACACAGAGCCCGAACCGCCCTCTTCCCCCAAATATAATTCATTAATTCTAAATCTTGGAAGCGCCTCTGTGTATAACAGCGCGACTTCTCCCATTCCCGCGTCCTACCTCACGCTCGATAACGCTCTCTGGGATAGGTAGCTCCGGATTCTATTCCGGGGATCGTTTTTCTATTTGACGCTTGGTGTCAACAAAAACGTTTGTTATCGATGGATTCTAATGAATCTCTTCCGCAGGCATTCATGATTGATTTCTATTGCTGGCCTTCAGACGATGAGACCGATGCGGCAGCGATGCCCGAGCACATTGGTTTCGCCTATCTTATCCCTTCTAACAGACAGGGCAGTGCCGGCGAAATCTCAATCCCTATCACAGGAACCAGGTGAGGGTCGAAGTCCGACGTGGTATTTCAATGTCTCAAGAATCATCTCTGGGTCCGTGCCGAGGGGTTTTTCCTCTCGCCCTCAAAGTACTCAAATGAAAATTCTTCATTTTTGTTCAATCAGACATCATCCAATCGGAGAATTGACGATCAACTTCTTGGTTGTGCGTCCACTCAAGGGCTATTCGTGTACCGCCGAATCTACATTTGCCAAGTTCTGGAAACGTCATAAGAGAAGTCTAGATGTGGGTCATCGAGGAGCTGGAAACGCACGGAGAACAGATATTAAGAAAGACACAGTCTCCGCCAAGGTATGAGTAGCATCAACGAGGTATCAAATGAGTAACGACCGAGATAAGAACAGCATTGCGGTCTGATTTTTGATGAGTTGTCCGAGATGAGTTACCGACTGGTACAATTGCGAAGCTTCCGTACCTCCCAATACCGTCCCCGTATAAAACCACCGGTGGACCGATTTCATCCTACCCTCGCATTCCAGGTGGAGAACGTGCTCGAGAACACAGTCGCCTCTTTCAATTATGCAGCGAGACACGGAGCGGACATGGTCGAGTTGGACGTCCAACTCTCGAAAGATAAAGTTCCGGTCATATACCACGACTTTCACATAAATATTGCTATGAAGAAACGAAGACGTACCGTAAACGAGGAGGAACCGCTCACAGTAGCCGTCAAAGACCTGACGTCCAGCCAACTAGAGAATCTGAAACTACAACCCGCTGAAAGTCACCCTGAGTCCCGACTTGAATTCACGGACGAAGACGTCGACGACAACCAGCCCTTCCCAACCTTGCGACATGTTCTCACCGCAATAGACACCCGTGTTGGCTGCAACGTCGAAATCAAAGCTCCACTACAGTACAAAGACGGTAGTTGGGAGCTCGATTATCCGTTCGATATGAACGAGTACATCGACATTATTCTCAGCGAAATTCTGCTGCATTCGGGCAATCGTTTCATATTGTTATCGTGCTTCCACCCCGACGTCTGCACGATGATTCGCCACAAGCAGAACAAATATCCTCTACTATTCCTGACGCAAGGCGTGACGGAGAAGTACCCACCGTACCAAGATCCTCGAACGGAATCTGTCTTCATGGCGTCGTACTTCGCAAAATCAATCAATATTCTCGGCATAAATGCTCATACCGAGGAGCTCTTGAAGAACCTTGAGCTCATCAGTCTCGTGAAATCAAAAAAACTAATCATGTTCTGCTGGGGCGAAGACATCAATACCACTGCAGTCATCGATACCCTCAAGCGACTGGGCGTCGACGGTGTCATTTACGACAAGTAAGTATAACTAGCGACAGAGATTCGTGGATTATCCCGCATTTGCGGGAATACTCCGAGAAAACGGGATAGGTACGATATATGGGGGATTTTTTGACGTGAAGTCGTATTGATGTTCCATCGTGGTCAGGGAAAAAAGTCGAGGCAGGGTTCGAGCGGGGGAAGAGCAGAAGCGGGGCTGAGGCGGAGGAGATATTCGAGCGGGAACTGAGGTCCGCTGCGCTCGTTTCAGAATCGATGTGATTCTTGAGCAACTTCGTTCGCGACAGGTAATGCCTCGCTGCATCCTGCTCGTAGACGGAAAGCGAATCCATAGCGAGACCCTCTAGAATTCAATCAAATGTTCCGATGCCTCCGGTCCGATGCCGTGCATCGGCATAACGAACTCTTAAGCTCTAACTCGAACCGCAATCGGCTTGCGTACTAACTGCGCGGCCCAGGAGAAGCATCGTGGCCTCTTGATTCCATTAGAGCGTTCGAAACTAAGGGACGTAGCCACGAACGAGGAACGGCACTAAACTCCTGTTCCATTTCAGAGTGGATTGCCTGATCGAAGGGGATCGTCAAGAGATCTACCTGATGCAACCTTTAATGGCATCAGAAATGCTGGAAGCTGCTCGCTCATGCCACTTCCAGTCAAGTGAAAACCTTCCGAGAGACGTATCGCCACCTCAGTTAGCGGTCACGCCCCCGAGCGAAAACGGAGGTTTCAGTGGATTCCAGAGACCCTTCCAAATAATTTCGTCGGGCGATTCTTAAGATCGCGAACGGCATTAACGCTGGCCACAATGACAAGCGGGGAACTGCCCGCTGAGAACACGAAGATTTTATGTCCACGGATCAAAATTGTGCTTGTATTGACTCGGATGAAAGTCCACTTACTTTCAACAGTCTACAGAATTCGCTCCACTCACAAATCAGACACTGGATCGATTCTCGAGGAGCTTGTGGACCGTCAGGATTGTCGAGTGCTCAGCGCGTTCTTTAGGCCGAAGTAGCCCGGCTTGAGGCGAAATATGCGGGTCCTGACCTCGATCCATCGGGTGCATTCGCTCTCTGGATCCGAATACGAGAGCAATACTTTTCAAGTAGTACCCGGAACATTGAAGTTTGGCTATCTACCATCTCTGGTCGTGTTTACTAAGAATTTCAGACATACTACCGTGGGGTCTCCGGTGCATTGACGCGCCCGAGACTCATTGGTAAACTGGCTAAAGCATTCGATTCTTCTCCGACTCAGCTCGGGCCAAAATTGTTAGCACCTGCATCGAAGGTGTCTTTCCTTGTATACTGCGCCGGGATGCGAAATGATAGAATCCATCAAGGGGGGCACCTGTTCCTGAATTTTATCAGTTTCGAGCATCTTCAGGGAGCGCGCGGGCACGCTTCGACAAGCCCATGTTTGTCTTTGCGCTATGGATGCTCGATGGCCCATGCATCCACTGATCCGTCCCATTCATGGTATTTTCGAGAGGCGGGCATTTTAGCTCGCCCCGAATACCATGATGACGGACCAGGGGCATCGTCGCCATCGAGCACGTGCTATTATCGATAACAACATTTTCCGCTAGTTATTGAGTAATAACCTGTGAAGGCACGGGGAGACAACTGTCACGTGTGTGCTCCGTCGATATACATAGGATAGATAGAATCATGTAGGAGCTAAACTACCTTATACTGAGTGAGAAACTCATTTTAAAAGCTATATGACTAAAATTCTAGTACAAACACGTGTTTTACTCCGATTGACTGCTGAGCCGAGTTAGACGGAGTTAGAGAGCGCAGGAGGATTTTTCCAATCACGACCCGACGCGACGGAGCCTAGTTTTCCAGACTCCGTGGTCGCTTTGGAGACCACTCGAGGGAAAATCTCATCCCGATGCTTTTCGCGAGGCTGTTTCGGGTGCCAATGCTCCCAGATGCTAGCGCCCCCAGATCTCTCCCTCGAGGAATAGCTGCTTCGGATGGAGGATGCGAAGGACTTCGAGATTGGATGAGAGACGAAGACCTTTTAATCTTTCGGAAGGAGTGTGCCCTTCAATGGGTTTATTCGAGAGTGACGGAATCCCGGACGGATTCGCTTCCGTTTTGCCATCAGCGCAGGTTCACTGGAGATCGTCCTGTTGCCATAATTTGAAGGTTCGGTCGAATGAGCTCGAAAGGATCGTTTCGCCTTTCATATCCAAATCACAGCCCATGATCTTTCCGTCATGGCCTTTCAGGGTATGCACAGGAGTCCAGTCCGGAGCGGCCCAAAGCTGGAAGCGAGACACGACCTTAGGAGCAGTCCGGAGCATCAGACCGCTTTTTATGAAAATTTCAGACATCCACTCACCTTCAGCGTGTTGTCGTAGGATGCGGTCAGTAGAAACTCCCCTTTTACTCCTGAAATGGATGCGCCGAGAAATTTTCGAGACGAACTGCAGGCAAACACTCGCGATTTTCCGTGACGAGATTCGGGGAACGTCATTGGAATTATGACCCATGGGCACGGGTCTGATGATTTGAAAATCCGAAAAATAGCGCTTGGTCTACTCACGGTCGAATTTCACTTTGGTTACTATATTCGTGTGCGCGGGGATGGTGTATTCACACCTCCTCTGTCTGAGATCCCAAATCTTCACCGCGTTATCCTGACCTCCGGTGCACAACAAGTACCCATTCGGAGCGAAATCGGCGGTCAGAATGTCTTTGAGATGACCTTCGAGGAACATCACGCAGCGACCGGTCCGGAGATCCCACAAACGTCCGAACGCGTCTCGACCCGCCGTTGCAGCCAGGGATCCATCGCAGTGGAACGCGATGTCATGCACAGGCTTGGAGTGCCCTGTAATTTCAGAGGGGGAGTGAATTCTCATCTGTAATCCTTAGACGAATCCTGATACGAAGGGGAACGCAACGGGGATCATCCTCCACCGACAGAGCCGTCAAGATCAGCTGGGCTGACCGAGGGACGCCGAATTTTTTCTGACGGATGGAGTACGAATCAAGAAACTCCCGGAATGCACAACATCACTGTGATATCTACACCAACACCAAAGACGGGATCCCGCGAGCCTCCCGCTGTGATATGTACATTTCACACCAGAATTAATGAATATTAAGCTGTGATCGAAGCCCAGCGTCTTCCCTTTCTCGTCTGTTGCGACCCTATTTCAGCAGATATACATATGCGTTGGCGCGCTTGGAAGGTGGACTTACCGGGAGAGAATCGGAAAGTCAACTTACCTTCTTGGTAGAGTATCTCGAGATTCTTCTCCATATCAATGAGTCTCCAGGTGTTATCGTAGACGCAGCATGCGAGGAACCGTCCCGATGGATGGAAGGCGACCCTTGAGACTCTGTGAGGCTGCATGTCGCGGATGGTCTCGACGGGCGCATCACTGGAAGTCGATACAGGTTCACGGGAATATCTCGCAATCTGCGACCTCTCCAAAATTACAGGGCACTCCAAGCCTGTGCATGACATGTGCATGGAGACGTGCATGGAGGAAAAATTCAACCCACCTCTCGAGGTTCCACAAACATATAGCCCCATCAGTGGAGCAAGACGCTAAATTGAGTTCGGTTGGACTCTGCTTCAGCGTCGCGTGAGGGTGAAAAGTGACACAGCTCGCTTGACCTTGATGACCCCTGAGAACTTTCAGCTGGAAACATGCGGGAACCAATCATGCCGTGAAGATTCGTCGCGGCCACCACGACGACCATTGAAAAAACGCGAAGGCGAGAGTTGACTGCTCTCACCTCTTCCAGAGTTGAGGTTTTCCAGAGTTTGCAAAGCCCGCTCCAGGAAGCTGTGGCGATTATTTCTTCGTTCGGAGAGAACTCACAGCTGGCGATGGGTCGCTCATCACCGATCTGTGACGCAGCTATCGTGATACCGCGGAGTCTCTGGAACAATTTTTGTTTCCTCGCGGTCCTCTGGGAGTCCGTCGATTTCTCGACATTGCGTTCTCGGGCCAACCTGCGAATGTTTGATTTCCCAACTTTGACTTCGGCCTCACTCCTGACTCCTGATGTTCTGGTCAAGCATGGCTTGTCAGCGACTTTCGTTCCATGGATGCAGAGCGGTAGCCTCACCTTTCTTTCGCTCTGGGGATAGAATATCTCAGTATCCATTCACGGGCCGCTTTGAGCTCATCGGGACCTTCATGATACCATGTCGTTTCGTCTCCTCTTGCCTCCTGCTCTTCTTCTTCTGTCGGGCGAAGTCTGCGGAGCGGATCGAAGACAAATATGGCAGTTCGAAGTGTCATGGAATAGCTATTTCGTGACCAGGTCATTCTCGCGGGTGGATTTCGTAAAGACGAGAAGTTTTGCCGCTAGGGTCACTCGAGCATCCCATGAGAACCTACCTGAGTGCCGTGACAGTCTCATCTTTCGCGAGGACGCTGCGGAGACGCTCTCGACGATCCGCTGGTCCTTCTCCGAAGAGACAGATCGGTTGACCGATATCCCGGAGGATCATTCGAACCTGACCATCGTCGGTCGGTACATTGAGTTTCCGAGCCCGTTTCTTGCGTTCAAGCTCGTCTAACAGAAGTTTCTTTTCCCGGGTCATCTTCTCCTCTTCCAAGGCCATGAACTCGGCAGAACCCTTCCCTGACGGTCCGGGCGAGTCATCTGGAAAACCGAACGTGACACACTAGTCTTTGACAGTTGGGGAAAACTCAGACGAGCTGCGCCGGTTATACTGAAACGTCCAACTGACAGCGAGTACGCGGCTTCTCGGCTACTGTTTGGATCAGCCGGATAAATGTCACCTGTTCAGAATAAAAAACCAAACCTCCAGAGTCGGAATCGGATCCCGTAGAATCTCCTCGAGACTCCTGTCGAAGTCTTTCCTGTTCCTCGAGACCGCCGTAGTGTACGGTTCTCGCTCTCTTGACATACTGAATCTCGTCTTCACTGTCAGACATCGTGGGATGAAGATTTCGCACGCGCAAGCTTCACGTATTTGTTCGCGTATTAAAAAGTCTTAAAACGATTTACGAAGTGCGCGGCGCTGTTGCCGCAGTTTGTTTCGTTCGATTCGATTATTCTTGAGATTCCGCTTGTTTACAAAATAGCCGCCGAGCAGACGACGGCGACAGCCGCGCGCGCACATAGTCTGGTGTCTGGTTCTCTCCTCTCTGATCTAAATCGAAAATGTACCTACACTGAAACCCCTGGATGGCATGGAAGAGCTCACCAGACTTGATCTAGCGAGCAGTCTCATATGATCGATTCCTTTCTCGGACTCGGGATTCCGAACCATGCCCAGCTCCTTGTCATCTGGCTTCCGAGGATCTGACTGAAGACTAGAGTATGGAACGATCGAAGAGAGCCGACGCGGAACGATAGGTCGACAAGCTCCCCTCCGGAAGTTTCGACTAGTCACGGAAGGTGTGATTTCCGGTCGGAATGCAAACAAGCCATTGACTATGAGCCTCTCGGGGTCCTCCTGATCGCGGTAGCCCCGAGATTCTTCCCGATTCCTGTATCGACTTCGGAAATTCAATGCCCGATCGAAGTCATCGACGCAATCCATCGCTGGAAAGTTCTTTTCCCTGCATCGACGCGCCGTCAGAGCCTATGGAGCGATCGTCAAAACGTTGGAGGACCTCGGGACGAGCGGCTGTCAGAGTAGCGGAGCCAGTGGCGGGAACTTCGAAAACCCGCAGGACGGATCAGCGTATCATTTGCCGCCACCGTCAACAACATCTGTTATGCAGCAAACTAAACAGCGAGAGGAAATATATGATTTCGCAGGACGGCTCCTCACCTCTGTGGCCTCAATCATGTTCTAACCGAGAGACACACCGTGCCTGAATGTGAGTGAAGAGCTTCCAGAAGCTGTCGGTGACGAATCATCGTGGGATCGTATTTCTTCCCCACAAAAGAGATCTGGCGGACAAAGGGAATACTCCAAAATGAGTCTCGCGAAAAAGCGCCTCATCTGAGGTTCCTCGAAGGAGCTTCCCTCCGCAGCGAGCCCAAGGATGCTGAATATGAATTCTCAGCTTCGAATAGAAGTGTCGCTCCAAACGTCGAGACCTCAAATATCCCGGAGAGACGCTTTCGCATCGTCTTATACTTCCCGAAATCTGTTTTCCAGCATGGATACGACTCAGTACAGCTGCATCTCCCAGTTCCTGGTAGATGGAGGAGCAGGGGTTAGCTGCGTCACGGTGGACCCCATGGAAGAGCTCATATGGATGGGAGGCATGGGGGTGAGTGTCTCCTCTAGGGCATCGAGGGAGGTCCCGCGGTCCTTCCAGAGGAGACGGGATCGTCCATCAGATATTTTTCCTCTCACTTTATCCTTTTCGGTATAGTCTCTCTAGAAGGGAAAGACCGATTCTGCCTCAGTGACCCGGCTGTCCTTCCGAGACCAGGCGAACCTAGGTGCTGCCTTTCCCTCTATTTCACTCCCCCTTCCTGCAACCTGATCGGGGTCGGAATTGAATCCCGGCCTCTGAGTCGATCCTCCCCCGAGTTCTCACTTTCACCAACATAATCAGAATCGTATAGGATTACGAAAGACGAGCGACGACGGAATACGGGAGAAAAACACTGCAACGAATCGAATCAATGATTTCCGGACCTGCCTCCTAGACCGATCATGTAATCATTGAGTCCATCTTTTCGCAGGGCCACGTCACGTCCTACTACGGTGCCGCGTGCGAGAAATACACTTCATTCCCGTCGTTTCCGCAAGGCTATCCGGTCCGAGCGATGACTGTACACCCAGACGGAGTCTTGACGTTGTCCGACATAGGAGTACGGATGAACAATCGGCGTGGACCTTCCAAGTTCGTGTCTACCCTCCCGAGACGATTTCCAGGACCTAGTGTACTCCTTGCGCCCCGGACAGTGAAAATAATTTGAAGCGATTGTCGCTGCAGATGGCTGATGACTTCTCAAGAGGAATTCTTTAACCTCAGCTGTATGACTCTCCTGGGAAAAAGCGACCACAGACTGGCCATTTCTGGAAATCAACAATCCTTGTTTGAGCTGGATATAGAGCGAAGCAAGTAGCGACCGCGTTATGATTCATTCTCTTTACCCTCCCAACCCCACGAACCTCTTCCCGGTTCACCTTCATGTGAATAACGGACAGCTATGCAAGGGAGGAATTCACGAAATCTCATAGTAATGGAAGCGAACGCCCATTAATTCCAGATGGTGCTGTAGTGCGTCGTGTCACTTCGGAGAATCATGAGCTTGGAGGCTACAAGGTTCTCAAGAGCAACCCCCAGTACCTTTGCTGTGCAGACTTCAACGGCAACATCGACTTGCGCAACAAAGACTCGTTGCAAGTGATACACACGTTCGAGGGAGGAGCAACGAACATGGTCAACGACATGGCCGTCCTGGGTAATCAATTGGTGACCTGTGGATTTTCGGAGCTGTACGGACGACCTTCGCCCCATTTGTATCTTCGAGTTTACGATCTCCGGATGCAAAAACTCGTGCCGCAGTTATTGCAGATGCTCTTCCCGCCTTCCTTCCTCAAGTAAGTTTCTCGAGATGTCCCCATAGACGTCTTTGATGACCATGGGAATTGGCAAAAAACTGATAATGAAAAGAGATTCTCATCGATCACAGGTTCATCGAAACGTACACGTCCAAGATCATGTGCGTCTCAGAGAGTGGCCAATTCCAAGTGGTCGATGTTGGTTCATTCGAATGCGCCTCGACAATGAGCGTGATCGACCCAACGATTCTCACCGGACCGGTCACCTGCTTCGACATGTGCTCCACATCTCAAGGCATTGTATTTGGGGACGAAAATGGGATGCTTTACCTCTACGGTAAGACATCCGGGTCACAATCCCGATCTCTTCAAATGTCAGGGGGGTCTGGGCCAGCCGCGGAAACATCAGTCTCACCTTATCGAAATAGTTTTGGGACGACAAGCTCTCGGGAATGAGCTCGGAGGAATTTCTCTTCCGGCAGGAACGGCTCCTGACATGCGATTTCACAACTATGTGCGACCGACGGAATTCGCGGATCCCGTGGATCCTCCGTCGCCAATGGACATCCAGAACCCACTCACTGTGTATTCTTCCGTCCCCATGCCGATTACGAATGAGCCGATGCTGAGCGACCTGTTTCCCCACATGTCGAAGTTCAGGTAAATCGAGAGCGATGGTTCTCACGATGAGATCGGTCTCGCCACTCGCCAGGATGATTGATTCCTTTCGGTGGGACCCTCGATTCCAATGCATTCATTCATCTTTCTTGCAGGTATCACGTTCCTCAGCCAATCGACCCCGGGATACTGCACAGCATGAAGGTCGTTGGCAATTTGGGTTACGCGCCGAACAATGGTCGAATGCGCAAGAACGAATGCCCCTATATCCTGAACAAGCAGCACCTCAAGAAGCAAGATATGTCACCAGTTCAGGATAGCCATGTCCCGCATTACTACGCTAAGGTAACGAGACCAAGTCTGTCTGTCTGTCTTAGTTCTCATTTAGGCAGCGAGTACCGTGAGACGCCACTCAGCAATCCGATGGAAGTAGGAATAAATCTAACCATTTCCCATAGGTGGACATAAAATACAACAAACTCGGCATCGAAGACTTCGATTACAATCAATACAACAACACCTGTTTTGCCGGCTTAGAGAGCTCTTTACCCAACTGCTACAGCAACGATATGCTCCAGGTCTGTGACCGACGTGACTCCACCCGCAAAGGCCAATATATCTCCCTAGGGGCTCTTTTTGGCATTTGGAACAGATCTCAGATATCATTCTTGAGTTCGCTTCTGAAATCGGAGGATCTGATTCAATTCCCAGGTTTTCTACTTCCTTGAGCCGTTCCGGATCATGATACTTAATCATCTTTGTGAGCGCGAATTCTGTTTGTCCTGCGAGCTCGCTTTCCTATTTCACATGTTGGAAACAGCGCAAGGCCTTCCATGTCAAGCGAGCAACTTCCTGCGGGCTTTCCGCACGATACCCGAGGTCACAGCTCTGGGACTCCTCATAAACGAAGATCGTATCACAGGTACGACGGAAGAGGCGACGATGATCTTCGATCTTCATAACTCCTCCTGGAGCGGTATCGCGAGTTTTGAGTTTCGAACCGAGGCGAGCCCAAACGCTTCCTTTTCAGGGTGCAAGCAATTGATTCAGGGCTGGACAAGATTCATGCTGTCTCAGCTCCATCAAGAGACAGTCGACGAGAGCGGGGAATCCATTATCACGAAACTGTTCACATTCACCCAAATTATTATTCAAAAATGCAAGTGCCTGTCCTACGCTGAAAAAGAGACAACTGCGAACACTATAGTGCTGAACTATCAGCCGTCTTCCGCGAGCGGCGATGAGGCCAGCAGAGTCACCTTTGCGGAAGTCTTGCAGAAGTCAATGTACGTCCATAATCAAATCAGCGTCTGGTGCGATACCTGCGGAAAGTACACGAATACTGTGGAAACTAGAATGTGAGTATATGTGATACATGGATCGCACGCGGCTTTCATTAATGTTCCCTTGCGTCGAATTGCGCTCGCCCGGAAATCACCGACGAATGCCGCTCCCACAGCATGACGACTCTGCCGGACATTTTGGTGATCAACTGTGCCACGAATTCCAATTCCGCCAATGAGATGTGGAGCAAGAAGAGCGATAGAGATGCGTCGAAGCCTGAGAATGCTGTGATCTACAAGAAATGCAAGTGAGTACAGGATCGCCTGTCCCCGAATCGTCTGAGCTCACGGGTTTTCCGCAGAGAGGAACAAGAGGAGATTCTCCCTCCGCGATCCTCCGCCTGGCGAAACCTGACTGCCATTGCTCCTGACCCTGATATTCCAGATTCGGCGACAAATGTACACGTCGCGGTTGTCGCTACATCCATGGCGACAGTTCCGACGCGTTGAGAGATATCTGCGAAGGAGATTCCTGGCTGCCGTTCACATTGAACATCACACTGAGCTCCGACGGCTCTGTGGCCGTCACAGAATCCGAATTGGAAAACGATGGAGTCAATTATGAGTTGACAGCCATCGTATGCGTAATCCAAGTCGATGGTAAAATTTCTTTCTGTCAGAGCCGACCGAAGAGTGAAGAAGGGAAGAGCTTGCTGGAGATTTCATTATAACACATACCCATCTCCCGGGCAGGTCGCGAAAATATCGTGTCACTGATAAAAGTGGGTCCGGAGTACCACGAGAAACAGCATTCGTCGAGGATGGCTCACTGGTACGTCTTCAATGATTTCACCGTCCACTCGATCAAGGAGAGTGAGGTGGCGTACATGCCCATCGAATGGAAGCAGCCCTGCATGCTCTACTACGCGAAGAAGGACCTCGCCGAAAAGTTCAAAAATCTAAAGGTAAGCGACGCTTGTGTGGGTCTACTTTCACTCGGTGCTTTCTCGGGCGTATGCTCTCGGGCGGAGGCTCTATGCTCTGACTCAGGTTCTTCAATTTCACCGATTGCGATGAGAACTCCATGATTGAGACGAGATATTTTGCTGCAGGTACAATCGCCAATCAAAGAAGCTGTGATTCGCAACGATTACTCGATCGGACCAGCGGTACGCATGAAGACTTTCACGCCACTGAAAGCAGCGGAGCAATTCAAAGCAGGAGACATCGTAGCCATGGACGCCGAATTCGTGACGCTGAACCAAGAAGAGGCCGAAATTCGTTCGGATGGCACCCGAGCCACGATCCGACCAAGTCAGCGTTCCGTCGCTCGGATCTCCTGTCTCAGGGGACAGGGCAAGATGGAGGGCGTCGCGTTCATAGATGACTATATTGCCACCCAGGAACAAGTCGTCGATTATTTGACTCAATTCTCGGGCATCCAACCCGGTGATCTCGACGTGAGCGTCTCTTCAAAGCATCTCAACACATTGAAGAACACCTACCAGAAGCTGCGTTTCCTCGTTGACGCTGGCGTGATTTTTGTCGGGCATGGTCTTAAGAACGATTTCCGAGTGATCAACATCGTCGTGCCTCAGGAGCAGGTCCGTGATACCGTTCTCCTGTTTCAACTCAGGAACAAGCGGATGCTGTCGCTGCGTTTCCTGGCTTGGCACTTCTTCGGAGAGACGATTCAGTCCGAAACACACGATTCCATTGAAGATGCCAAGACGGCCCTCCGCCTGTACCGAAAGCACGAGGAGCTCGACAAGAAGGGGGAAATCAATAATGCGCTCACAGAGCTCTACGAGGTCGGCAAGAAATACAACTGGAAAGTTCCCGAGGATAACAGTCAGAGCAACTCGGGTACCCCTGCAGCACCAATGGAGTGACGCGAGGGCTGAGTTTTCAGTTTGGGCAGCAAGCAAATACTTTTCTGGTGGTCCTTTGCCCAAAGCTGTCGATCGTGTGTATGTATGTTTTTAGTGTATATTCAATAAGGTGGATTTCGGGTATCTCGGCTGGTCGTGGCGACTCCGACCATCACTCATGAGAGCGCCACTACTCTCCCAGTCTGTTTCCGAATTTTCCTCCCGAGAAAATTCGTATCACGATCAAATTTATACATCCAATCGTGAGAGAGTGGTATGTACATTGTGCCCGGGGCATTCTATACACTCGAGTAGTTGATGGGAGTCTATTGAAGATCGTTCAGGTTCCATCGTAAGGTCAAAGGGATGATGCGAATAGTGAGGATATAAATTAATCGATGTGTGATTTTAGTATGGTATCAGGGATACAGGTTGGAAAATCTGGGAATGCGGCTCGAGTCTTTAATAAAATCTCGCTGACGACGATGACAAAAACCATGTCTTCTTTATTTTCTTTCAACTCATCTGCGCGTTCATGTGGTTTCTTCTCTCCTCTCATTTATACGTTGATACAAAAATGTCTTAGCTACAAATATACAGGGATGGCGCTGCGAACCGGCTTGGACGGTCAACAGTCTTATGCTCGCAAAAGCATGACCGAGTATACAAATTGGGGCTCCCCAGGCATAATTCAAATGTATTCATTTCTCAACGTCAATCGAAACAACGTTCCTTGCTCTCATCAAGTATCGAAGGTCATCGACGATGGCTGGGTGGATATATATGCGGAGTCGAATGAGGACAGTATGCTCCTTCTGATTAACACTGATCATACAATAAGTCTCGTAGGGTAATCCCAACCTGACACAAACTGGGCACAAAATAATTTTTCTTCAACGAATCCATCAATTTCTTCTTCTTGCGTTCAATCTGACTAGTATCCTCGACCGCGTTCTCGAACATCGCAGATATAGAAAATATTGCTTTTACGCATAATTGAGGCATATCGCTCAACTCCAACACCGCGAGACTTTGATTCCGGTTGAAGCCACTCTTAACAGCAACGAAGGTTCGGCGGTGTCTAAACTTCCCCTGCTCACCGCAGGGGACTATTCAGAGTTCAGAAATGGTTAATTGATCTCTAACGGAACCGCAGAGCCGCGTGGTAGAACCAGACACGCCCTCTGTATGGGTCCCGTTCACGCCTGCCGTTAGCTGGCCCCGGATTACAATTTTTCACGCCGTGCACGGCATTCCTTCTCGATCCGATGACAGATAATCGGTATTCTTCCCTGATCACGGGATGACTGCATAGATTCCAAGTAGTGAGGTCCATGTGATCTGCCGGCTGATGGAGAGCAACATTGAAAGCTCAGTATAGACAACGCTCTCATTGGTCGATCGGCTTATTTCTCGCGGAAGCGACTACATTCAAGCTGCGGCTCAGTTGGGGGAGGGGGCAGAATCATGAGCTGCACTCATCGAAAATGATTTAGGGCGCCGGCTCACCGCACCGACGATCGAAACTGAAGCGAGTAGTGAGAGGTACGGGACGGCTTGACTTGGACCGCGAAGGCGATAACATGACACCTTTTTCCGCCTCAAGGGCTGCCTTACAGGGGCTCCAGTCATCGTGAACAAGGCGAACTCGCCTGGTCCTGGATCCCATCTGTCCGATCACTCTTCCTGTCAACGCTTATCTGTCGTTCCGCGAGCGAATCGGGAGCAAGTTATTCGCACTATACAGAGATAGTCAGTCGAAGATAAGGACGTGGTAGCTTGAAATCATAGACCGATGACAGATCCTATCACGCAAGATATCTCGAGCTGCTGATTGAATTTTGAGACAACGAATATCCTCGACATACCTGATAATCCCCCGTCGATGGTTGAAATACGGACAAGCGTGATCGAGACGCAGGCTATCAGACGGAAAAACCACTTGAAATCAAAGGATGAAAAAACGACTCGAGGTGATCAACGCAGAAAGGTCGTGTCAGTCTCTTGTAAATCGACTCTGACGGCGGCCTAATTCGACGGACAGCCGTTCAGATCGGGAACTTCTGAGAGGTTATATCCTACCCTTCCAGCTCCGTTCCTCCGGCCGCCCCAAATCGTGTGGCCGGAAAGGGGCCCGAAGCGGCCCGAGGAATAATTCCGCCTGCTTCCCCGGGATAAGCAACCGAACTTGATCGTACTCAGACGATTGCTTTTCAAAGAGATCGCCTCCGGTGCATTCGTTCCTCCTCGACACAACCGTAATTTAAGGATAATATGAGCTTTCCCGTGCGCCTCTGTCTCCTTGATGTACAGATCCAATCCTGTTCCGTCCTCGTCGTCACGTTTTTACCACAGCATTAGTTCCCGAAAGAAATATCTCTCCTATGTATAACTTCTTTCTTAACTACCGCCCATATTGGCTAACACCGACTAAATTCGTTTAGGCATGTTGTTTTCATCTCAGAAGAGGTTTGTAGCACTCCTTGCCGATGTCCTGCCGGACGACGATGAAAATCTCGCGGTCTTTCGATTTAGCCTGCTCTCTGAGGTACTTCACGACTTCTTCCTCGCCTCCGATACATTGTGGCGCATCGAGTTTCGAATCTAGATTGAAAAACAGACCGGCCGGCTCCCCGCGCGGTCGGGATCCAGGGTAGAACTCACAAGGGAAGGGCTCGGTGACGAGCTGGCGGATCTCTCGCACTGCAACCCAGTGTTTCCGAGACAGAGGGAACTGCAGAAAAGCTAATTTGAGCTCGTTTGGGACGTTGAGGATGAAGCCCAGAATTTTCGAGAGATCGATCATCATGGGGTCTCTGGAAAGAGAGCTCGAAGTTAATATCCAAAGGAAGAACTCCTTTTTTGTTGAGCAACTGAGCACATCTGACACGACGGAGAATAACGAAGGACCCTGTAATGAGTCGGCTCAATGGTGTGAGACTCACTTTCTCTTGTCGAACCAAATAGCCTCGAATCCTTTGCTCTGTAGAGCTGCCATAATAACATTTACATCGTAGTTCCCGAGGCCTAGAACGCTTTTGTGTGGATTGACAAGGTGATCAGGTGACAAGCTGAAAAGTCAAATCATGGTTTCGCATGTTAGAGGATGAGCAGATCGACCTGTGCAATTCCATCGAAAACACGCGGCCGCTTGATGTTCTCAACTCAGCCTCTTCGTTGAACGACCGAGCTGCGGATGATCTCGGGAGAATTGCGGCTGACCCAAGATGTCAGTCTGATTGAGAGACTCACCTGTGGCATATTTGATCCAAAGCTGTTTTGTTGAAAGCTTTGGCGTCTTGGAATAGGTTGTTTAGAGCGTGGAGGGCGCACAACTCTTTGAGCTGACGCTCGTGATAAACAGGTACACTGACTCCCGTCGACGAAGCCATGGGCTTTTTCCGAGCTACGAGTCTGCAACATCGAAATTTTCGCTTATTGGATGCCCGGAGACTGCCTGGCTGCAGATGGAAAAAAATCGTCGGTTCCAATCAATCATCTGTCCTATAATGGTACCAGAACACTCACCTATCCACAAACTTCATCAATACCGATCGTGTGTCTGACCTCTCGAGAGAGGTCTCCTTCAGCTCCTTCATTATGGGCCGCTCTCCTGTTCTCAAAGATGAGTCTGAAAGTTTACGAATTAGGCATTCTGAGTCAAGAATGTCACTTTCCAGACCTGTTGCCGGTGATGATCTCTGAATTGACCAGGCGGATGCTAAGAGGTCGCTCGGGTCGAAAGGCTCAGAGCTCGATATGGCATACGTTGAACTCCGAATACAATCCAGCGTCGTAGTACGGCAGGGAGTAGGTGCGAGTTCACACGAGAGATGTTGCTGCTATGACGAGTGTATCGGCGTGAGCTCGGTGAGCGTCATCAGTGAGATCTCCAAGCGGTCAGGTGCTTCTGGCAGCCCGGAGAAACAAATTCGAATCGCTTATCTAGTGGAAATCATCCACAGAAAAAGGCGGTGAGAGTCCCGCAACTCCATTCCGGATGCGAGACGCCCATATCCAGCACTAGACCCATCGCATCCAAATGCTGTACATAATCAGTGACAGATATCCGAGCGACAGAATCTTAAGAACCACTGCTCCCAGAAAAGATCTTAAGGTCATGCTACCAACGGAGATAACTCCATAATGTGGTTCATAAGAGAAACCCGATAGGCGATGTGCGATTCAGGCTAACTATGAATGTTCTTCGGCAGTGCTGCAGCGGTTTCTTCCGCTTAGCGCCGCAATCTCATGGCTATTACGCGTCTTGACGAAGCTCTTTGCGAGCAGAGTCATTCTGACCAAGTCGAAGGTCGGGATATTCTTATCATCCGTAGCTCTCCTTTGCACGCTTCTCTAGAGGCTGAGCATTTATTGCTTCGTTCCGTAAACATCCGACGCTCCACTCGTGTTCGTTGTCTGTAGAGAGAATAGAAGCCCTGCAGTAACCCCAAAAATGACGTTTCATCGGGACGAGCTCAAATCCACCGAGACCCATTGAGTCATGAATTCTTTGGATGCGCCGCTTCTACAGAAAACAGCGATGCTGATTGGAGATCCATCCAACGAAAGTCTCGACAGAGAAGTCAGGGGGCAGAAATATTCAAGCAAGAACACCTCTCCAGCCGACAGCTCGGAGGAGGCTCTCACATAATTGAAAGAGAAGCGGCATATCTTCTGAAAACTCGTCGCTGAGGTTTGAGAATTGACATCCGCCTTATTCACCGTCTTCACCAGGAGAGACCTTTTGTCAAATTCTAATGGGAGGTGTTGCCCGGAGTGACACTTGACACTCTATTCTTGTGATAGTCCCCACTAGCAACAATCGAGAGCATGTTCGCCTGTCACAACAACGATTGCTTTGCCGCAACCCGCGACCACATTCTAATCTGTGATGTCTAAAAACGACGACACATTTCCGTTTCTCAAGAGACATCGGACCCTTCAGTTCTCACGGACGACGGCATATGTAATCTTCAGTGCTGAGCATCCTCCCGTCCCATTTCTGAGGGGGTGCGACCCCCAGATACCACGACCGTAGTCGTCTGACATTTCATTCATTTCGTCGTTCGAAAACTTCATACGGGACATTTCAAATATAGATACGAACCTTCAATGCCACCGCATGTTTCATTCGATTGAATTGAGGTATCCTAGGAGAAACTATCGCCGCTGAGTTCGATGCTTCACGAAATCCCTCGATCGGACGTTCACAGTTCACCTGTACCACAAAACATACATAAACACCCTCCTTCTTCTTCTTCTTCGGAAAAAACACACACACTCACTAGACAGCAGCAGGACTGCCACCACTAGCAGCAGCAGCAGCAGTCGCAGACCTTTCCCCTCTCCTGCTCTATCCCAGCTCGCTCTCCCTTCTTCTTGATGTCGAATACTGCGACCACATTTATTCGATTTATACCGCTCGAACTGCAACTCGGGCTTCGGGATCGATTCCAAACAGATTGTACGTATGGTAGAATAAATTTTCGCGCTATTGGCTCATTGTTAGGTCATCTGGACCGGGAGAAGGGTAGCAAACTTGGGAAACTGAACTTCCCGAGGAGAGGTGAAAACAATGATGTTGATGATCTTACCTGTGAGTTTGAGCGTGATCGGGCGGTCCCTTTCAACATATGATCCCTTCGATGAAGGTCCCGTGCTGGCTCATGAGACAATACCTTCCTAGAGCACGTTGGAGCTCATTGAAATTTGAGCTCATTTTTTGAATCATGCTGGTGTTGGCAGCGTGACAAGCCTCCGTGAGCTGTTGGAAAAGCCTCTGTCGCATGGGCTGTTGCTATCTGCCTCCGCGATGGCTGATCGCCGCATAACTAGCTTTGAGTTAATGGCATCGGCCGGGCTGGAAAGCATCTTACGAATCGATCATGACCCCCTCGGGAATGTCGCACTCTGTAGAGTCAGAGGACAAAGCATCTCCAAACCCCATTCGTCTCCTTGTTGCGGCAGTAGCTGGATCAGAAGAGAGAATAGGTGTGACCATGTAGGTTGACCCAATCGATCCCGACGCAGGAGCAGTTGCGAATCGGAGAAGGGACGAGGCTCCCTCAGTCAATCATCCGGCGCTAGCAAGACGCGGGGAGTCACAATCCGCGAGGGCAACTCACCTGACTCAAAGTTACGGCCTCCGCGCTCGCAAATTTCCCCGCTCCCCTTCTCGATTCTAGGTCCGAAAATCCATCTATTGACCGGAGTCCGATGTACAAAGTCATCTCGCTCAAAGTCCGAGAGATTCTTCTTGTATTTCTCTCCTCGGATACGGGACCGAGCCTCTACCCTCTGAGGGTTAAATAGACTACGCTGTATAGATTGCCTCATGAAGTCCATCGAGCGTTCAAGAGAGCTGCTGCGATCAAGGATACTCGATTCCGGCCACAAATTAGCAGCGACCGGCGAGAAAACATCGATGCTAATGAACTTAATGATTATATTCATTCCTGACTATGATGTTGAGAGATCGGCTCCCGAAGCAATTCCAATAGCTCAAGCCAGCGTGGAAAAAGTTCTCCGCCGATCCGAGCTCGCATCAACAGTCAACCTCTCCGGCAGCGAATCCAGGCGGTTCATTCTGTGAACGGAAGCCGAGAACGCAGAGATCGTGTACAGATGGATGCAAAGCCGAAAAAGCCGACTAAAATTGAATCGTTTATTTTCGAAACATCGAAACTCCACACTGGAAAAACACCCAAAAACAACCTTCCCCCTGTAGTTTATCCCACAGGATACCGATCCTGGCTTGTGGGGCCATTTTCGAAAGCTCTTGGTGAGAGCTTTCAGAAAAAATATAACACCGCCCTCCCTCTCATTCTGTGGCTACACGCGGAGAAATGAGTCTTTGGAGTTACGATGTTTTGAAAATAAACTTTTTTTCAAAACTCAGGAATCTTTATCTCGCCGTAAAAACGCCCAGGATCATCGTAGGAGGCTGTTTTTTCTCTGGGGGATTGGTCCATTCTTAAAACGCCCGTAACTTTTGAGTGGATGGAGCTATAGGGTCGTGCGGCGCCTCGTTGGAAAGCTGAGGACCTGGGCTTCATTTTGAGAGGACAAACAGCCTCCTACGATGATTCTGGACGTTTCTACAATGTTTTTGAGGGAAGGGAAAAACCCGTCCTAGGAAAATTCCGTGTCAATGTTAAGTCTATGGGGAGTGGTCCATTCTTAAAACGCCCGTAACTTTTGATTGAATGGAGCTATAGGGTCGTGCGGCGCCTCGTTGGAAAGCTGAGGACCTGGGCTACATTTTGAAGAAAAAACAGCCTCCTACGATGATCCTGGACGTTTTTACGGCGAGATAAAGATTCCTGAGTTTGGAAAAAACGTTTATTTTCAAAACATCGTAACTCCAAAGAGTCATTTCTCCGCGTGTAGCCACAGAATGAGAGGGAGGGCGGTGTAATATTTTTTTTCTGAAAGCTCTCACCAAGAGCTTTCGAAAATGGCCCCACAAGCCAGGATCGGTATCCTGTGGGATACACTACAGGGGGAAGATTGTTTTTGGGTGTTTTTCCAGAGTGGAGTTACGATGTTTCGAAAATAAACGATTCAATTAGGATCCAGCGTTCAGGGCGAGAGAAAAGACGCGATTTGAAAGGACATATCGTCGCAGAGAGTCGAAAAATATTTTACTTGTGCAGCGCTTCCAGTGAGCCTGACTAAAATCTTCACTCGCAGGATGGGATTAAGGTTTCCACGAGCTCTCCGCATTGACCATCTCTGGACACCCACAATATTCTTCGGACAATGGATTTTTACGTCACTTGCCTTGAGTCTTCTACCGACAGAATGCTGGAACATGACATCTCATTTCCACTCAGAATCGCGCTCCATTCTATCAGAGGGACAGCTGCCGTCGGAACTGCCAGAGTTCTCGAGGGGAAGAACTACCGAAATCGCTCCGCAGTTTCGCTCGGATTCTCTATTTCAAGAGACCGATCGCGGAACTCCAACAGCTCCGCGGAACTCCTCCATATTTTTATATCATCACTTAGCTGCCGAACTTTGCACTTCCAGGATCAGAGATCAAGGTCAGAGCTTTGGATCGGTCTGGATCGCTTCACGGCTGAAGCGCGAAGAAGCACGTGAGCTGTGTCAGTCAGAAATCTGGCTAAAAGACATTTGAGAGGGAAGAAAGGATAGATCGTGGCCAGAAAAGATACCCCTCACCGGAATCGAAAACAAGTAGCGGTCGAATTTCGCTAGAATCGTCGAGGGGAGCACAAAATTCAAATTCCAGGCTCAGTCATCCTTCGGAACGGGACATTTCCTATGAAGGCAGCGAAGAAGCATGCGCTTGATCGAGGTGGTCATTCACCAAGTCAGGAGCCGAAGAGGTGCGCCCGTGTCGCCTGTTCGTAATAAATCGTTTACTCTACTCCCGTCGGAGCTTCGCGGCACAATAGAATGTGGGCACGCAGATGATAATCGTTAGATCGATGAACGTCTCTATGGGATGATCCCCCTCTTCGCGAATTACGCAGGAATACTGCATCAACATGCGAGAAACACCAAACTTTCCGCAGAATCGGGTGCGTAAATTATGTGACTCTGTAAACATTTGGCATTTTGTGCAGGTCTTCAGAGCTCTGCCACAGAAACACTCAATATTGTGCGAAGGAAGTCTCTCAAGTAGGCATTCGCCTACGCTCAATCGACTCGTGAACCTCCACTATATTTTTCGGATTCGGCATGCGGAAACATTCAAAGAATGCTGTGAGAGGGAGTCAAGCTTCGTATGGGGATGTTTGCGACACCGTTCGTCGTCTAATCCGGTAATGTGCGACACTTTTCAAGCTCATTCCTCGGACCCCTCCGATGCGATCCCGTCCGTCATAGAAAGACGAAATCTCGGTCGGGAGATGCGATTGAGACGTGGCGTTCTCTTATTCGAGCATCGAAATCGGCTGAATACTTAAGGGGCTCCTTAGGATCTCAAAGATCCGTTTTCCACGTTTCCCTCGAGCTACCCTCAAGAAATTCCTATCGGAGATATCACTCATTACGGGCCAAATTCGACGTTCATAAATGGGAAATGCACGTCTCGATCTCATCTTCCCAGTTAGAGTGAGACGGACGGAATCGCACTGGAAGGGGAAGAGATATGAGCTCCGCGAGAGAGGCCTCAAAAATGTTTAATATGGACGAACTGAACCTTGCACTCTCTCGTGGCACTTTCTCCGATTTTTCCGGATTCCGAATCCGATGAAAGTCGCGCGGAACCGTAACTCGCTCAAGCGCGTGAAAACCTTCACTTTGCAGGAGATTAGGAGGTACCCCTAACCCCTAACACATGCGCGAGATAATCGGGTGAAGGTTCGATTTTCTCAAAACACCCCGAAGTCTCCACCGGTTCATTTCTCCCGTCCCTGTTCAGGCTTTTGTTCTGTCTTCTCGTGTCTGAACTCAGACGTAAATGAGCCGGTCCCATCCACAGAGAAGAGAGCTCGACCGTCGAATGTCATCATCTGTCGACGAGGGGAAAATTCAAAGATAATTCTCCGAGGTGATATGACGATACGCTAATAGTGGAAATACGCATGGTTGGCATAATTCGAACGCATCGATGACTGCGTGGCGCAACCCTCACCCCTCGCAGCTTTGCGGCGCCTCTGTCGGAACCGTTGAGATGACAAAGATACACACGTGTCGTCGCCGACGGCGCCGGCGCGATTACGAAGCGGGCGGGTCAGCAAACGGGGTAGCGCCTCCGAGAGTGAAAAACGAATCCCTGAGAACCATCTGCAAGTGCCAGCTCCTCGGATCGCCCACCACTTGTACATCTCAAACATACCGCACCATGAGCGGGGAGGACGCATGCTTTGGTGACGGAGAAGTTGCGAAAAACGAGGTACAGAATGTGGAAGGTGGGTTGTAACTTGTAATTCGTCGCGATGGAAGAAGAAACATATATTTCCAAATCCTCCGTCGTCTGAAGAGTTTTTAATGGGAACCCTGCAGAGCGAGATAACGCGTGGGACGAGGAATTCGACATCCATGAAAGACACCTCCGAGAGCAGCTCTCGATTGGGAATGTGACTTTCGCACAAGCCCAAGAGTTCTTCGCAGTTGTCGAACACCATTTCCTTCTCGAACACGAGACACCCATCAGAACGCTGTGCGAAATATGGATATATAACTTACATTTGGACCGTGGAAACCATCACGAAGGGTCCAGTCTTCGCTCACCGGACGAGAACAAGAAGCTTGTCGCGTTGTCTCTGCTGCAATCTCTGACATCGTACAGCACACTGGATGCCTACCTGGTGGTCGATTCGCACAAAGCCAGATTCCTTAATGAAATCGTCCAGCTATGGGCGATAGAGAATCGAAGCTTCTCCATGTGGACTAGAGCCCCTCTCGCATTCATGCAAGAGAACTTCGAAAAGGTGTACAGTGAGTAAGCCAAGTTCAGCTTGTCGTGTGCTCTATAAGACAACTCAACAAAGTATCGTTTTCACCCCATTCCTCGTTCAGTACGTCGACCCTCGATGCTCAAAAACAGAAGTCATGATGAAATAATGATGATGATGCACCGTGGACGCTTCACAAAAATTATATTCGAACACATCCAAGAGAGTAAGAGTTATTCTGAATCTTCCCCGTGTCATGGCGCTCTGTTCCTTCTATTTTCGACACATTTAAATGATAATCGTTACCGGGACTACCGAAATAGTTTGCGTTCCTCAGGATGTTTTCCAAGATCGGAGGGGAGAAAACAGTTGACATTGGTACCGGTTCAAGGACCATCGGAATCCGAACAGCATGATAAACGAGGTATGAACCCTAGTATTTTGTAGGAGAAAATTCGAAAAATCGAATATTCGGCCGCGCAGAGCGAATACAACGGTTGAACTTCAGTGGGGAGCAGGCTGCCGAGGCTCAAGTTTCTTAGCGGATGCGATGTCTCTGACCGATTCAGGAGCCGGCTGGGTGCGGACCCGATCAGCTCTGTAAACAGAGTCCAAAGAATGAACATCTCCGCTCACGGTCTGAGTGAATTCCCCTAGCCGTACAAATCGCGTCAGAGCATCAGTGTTGCTGACGAGCAGCAGTGATGTGACCTCGCGCGAGAGAAATCTCCTCGGGGACCGCTCCTCGAGACCTCTGCCGGTACCTGATTGTTCGTGAATCTAGGCTCAGGAGTCCTCCGATCAAATATTCTACCAAACCGGAATCCCGTGGCATTATACACGCTGGATTTCGCAGGAGATTCCGCATTAATCCCTGCCCACCGGCGTCAATCGACATGATTCGGGGTAGTTCCGGCGTTCCCCAAAAAGAGAAGATGCTTAAGCAGGCCGTCGGACGAAACGCCATAGGCTCGGGTCCTGCCGATGGTGATTGATGATCGAGCCCCATTCTCTCGGAATCTCTTATAGTGTTATACCGTGAATGAGGTCGGTCGGTGAGAGCCATACTGAGAGATCATCTTGCGCGATTTGATTCTTTCAGTGAGCGTCGCTTCACCAATGAAAGTGATTCCGGACGGATTCCGTAAAACTTTCGGAAGGAAATTCAGGCGTGTATCCTTCACGGGAGAATTCATCGGTACGTAGAATAATGAGGCTCACAAGACGCAGCAAGTGAAATGAGCATCAATCGTTCTTATTGCCTTGTTCTACGACAGAGTCGAATGAAATTTTTCCACAGTGGAGGAAGAGCCGGCGTGCAGTCTCAGACATCTCTACGACGTGAGTTGCGGGGCGTCAACGAGATCAAAAACGGTTTACACCATGAAAGAGCCAATTCGGAAGATCTGGAACCACATAGCGGAACTTTTTGTGCCCTCTTGGATCACGAAACAGTCGGTCGGTAAAATCAGAAAACGAAGATGGCTGCGGTGTGTCGGGCCTCCCCTGAAAGGGAATCAAGCTGTCGAGATTTTGACTGTAGAAGTGTCAAAGCTCATGTTTATCTTGTTTCGAAAGGATTGTTGCTTAGATGACATTTCGAAGATAGAGAATTTCGAACAGTTGATCTCGCGGGATATTCCCATCGTTACCAAGCCTTTCGCGGCGGGGACGGCTCTCATCGCGAATCGTCTTCTCAAAGATCAAGCTGACAGAGTCTTCATGAATCTACCAAGTATACTGTACGGCACAATCGACGAGCTCAATCGAGTTTCAGCGATGTGTCTCCTGTGCACTCGATACTCACCGACTCGCAAAATTCATTTGGGTTGTTCCGATCGAGGAATTGTTCGGAACCAAGTCGGCAGACATTTTGCAACCTATCACCGAGGCATTGTCCACCCAATTATTGAGAGAATGAACGAAACCTTACCTCGGATGCTCTGTCTTGGTCATAGGGCTGTCTGGCCGCTGGGCCTATATCTGGAAATGCTTCAATTAGCAGCTTTGAGTAACATCAGCACGAGAAGAGTCTACGGTCTCACCGAAGAAAACTGTGCAATGAGAAGCATGCTAGACGTTGGAGGGAAGGCCTTCCTGGCATCCATCGAGCAGAATGCGTTCGACTTCTGGACTCGTGCTCAAATCCGTAAACAGAAACTCAAGTGCGAAGATAATGAGTCGGGGACGAACTTCAGCGATGCCAGCTCTGACCTATGTGGATCACCGAGAACTCGTGCCAGACTTGATGGTGGAGACAGCGCCATGGAAGTTTGCCAAGGAGAGTGATCAAGTCATCATCATCAATTATTTGCCTCGGGCGCCTTCGCGTCCCTATCGGGTAGGTGGACGAGTAAGTGATCAGCGTGGAGGACTTGAGGGGCGGCCTCGCTGACGGGATACCCTCATATGCAGATGTGGAGAATTTGCTGCGGACGTTTGCGGTGTGCATTGTCTCGAGGTCATTCCGGCTGATTGCGCTTTAAGTGCACTTGGAAAAAGCAGGTGCTCCGTCGGTCTCGTGTATTTTCTCGTCCCTCAACTTTACCTGACCTTGAGCAGGATTATCGTTTTCAGGTCTCCGCTCAAGGCATCCAGTCGCATGCTCCCCCGTCAGCGCTGTCAGGTTCTCCCGACGAGAATCTTCCCATCGATATTCACGCCTTAAGCGACGTGCATAGGTGCATTTGTCATACAATAAACCACATATTTCGGTCCGCTCTCGACGCCTAGCCAGATCATCGTGATCCACCCTCGTGTATCCATAGGGATTTCCGAACCCCGAAAAAGCTGAAACTCCAATCGTTCCGCCGGAGCGAAGCTCGCCGCGAGTGATGACCGACGGGTGAGGCCACCTCACTGCACGTGAATATTATGGAATGCCGGCGGCTCTGGGAGAGCTGGTCACGAAGGAGAATCTTCATCCGTCAGTAGGTGTGCTCGAGACCGTTTCCAGGACCCCGCGATATTTTCATGGTGTCCCATAACTCATAGTCAGGCGACGCCTGACCTATGCCGCATCGAGCGATCCTCTTCAGAGAAGCCGCTTGCTTGTAAATAACATATACTCATACGATTCCGAGACCGAGAGAAGCAATTGAGAGTAGTCTGTTTCGCGCTTCCGGAACTGCGAGAAGCGGAGTTTTCATGCGAGGCCCGCCAATCATGTAGAAATTTTTGACGATAAGGAGCAAGGATTGCTGATAACCGCGAGAATTATGCGCGAATCTCGCGGATCTAGAACCGCGGATCCAGAACCGCTGTGAAACCTTCCTCGTCCACGAGCTTACTATGAGCCTCAGAATACAATGCGTCTTTTCGAGAAATCGCTTGCATTCCGGCTTCAGATTTCGTAAACTCAGAAAGGGCTTCGCCTTTTCCGTCCCGTGTGTCACCTGGAGGACTATTCAAAAGTACTGTCTCATCGTCTCATTACGATTCATTGTCGGACATGAGGAAATTCTTTGCAAAAGAAATTGTTAATCGATTCTTTATTCGAGTATTCACACAACATCCGCATCATCTATTAGCGTAATCTGGCTCAAGTTCCTATGGCATCTCTATATACAGTAGACGGAGGCGAACACCTCCATTGCACTCAAGTTTCCTCGTCGTTCCGCTCCGAGGGATTCCGTGCTACAGCGCGGAATTGTTCGTAAGTCAGCGTTCACTGTATTCGAAAGTTGGAATAAATAGAGCATCTGCTTTGTTTTGACTGTTGTGACGTCGCTGACGGAGATTCGCTTCCCGAGGATTCCGCGTCGATCCTCATCGGTTCGTTTGACTGTCTCTCCTTGTTCATAATATGTACACTGTCAAATGGCTTTTTCCTACTGTCGACGAGCTTTCTAGCTCGACTTATTCGGGGCGCTCCGAGTTCCCGTGGAATCTCCCACCCCATTCGCTATATCACTCGCTAATTTCGAATACTCTATTTGTTGAGCATCCTCCGTTTCGACCTCGAGTCATCGAAATCGTCGTCTGAGCTGCAAGAATATCGACGTCAACTCAATGGCACTGCTGACACTGTCCTCTCTGCGATCGTGCGAGGGGGAGCACCAAGGGCGATGAGGCTCTAATTATCGATTGGAGGGTTCATGCTTGATCACTTACATAGCCTCGTACAGCGGATTCTTCGTGACTACTTGTGGACTGCCCTCCTCGCTCGACAGCCGCTGAGTGGAAGCTTTACTCTGAGCTGTGCAAGGGCTCAGATCGAGTTGACTGCATGACATGTAGGCCACCTCGTTTGGGTTCGTGAAAGGGAAGCCCCTCACGGTGCCCTCGACATCGTCGATGTTCACGCTCATCTGCAGAACTTGGGTCTCGTATTCCTTCATGGAAGATTCCGCGTACACGGGTTCATATCTGGGCGTTTGGGGGATGGGAGGAGGGAACAGTTTCGGCTTCGGGGGAATCGACGCTGCCTGAGCCGCGAGTTCCTGCTGTTTCAAGAACCTGCAACGACGAGAAGCTCCATCAGCCGAGGCGGTAGCAACCGGGACAAATTAGGATTTCTGCGCCGAGCGAACAAAAATCATGATAATGGATCAATGGAGCTAGAAGGGAACGAGACTCACTTCTTCCAAGCACAGCAATGGTAGACGATCCCGAAGATGCCAAAGAAGAAAATCAAGATGCCGATGCCTATCAAAACCGTTCCCAGATCGGACATCTCCCTCAAGAAGATCATGCTGCGTTTAGCTCCTCGGAACTCGATGATCTCCGGTGTTTCGGTTGTGGTTGCTGGCGTGAGAACGATCTGCTGACGAACGGCCTTCACGTTGATCCCGGCGTCGTGATAAAACTGTCCCCACATCGCGGTGGCCTGGAGATCACCCTTGGCGACCAGGGACCGAATCCGACGGTCTTTGATGCTGATCGCTTTCAGGGTCTGCGGGTCGATCAGATGGAACCACATGTCGGTTCCACTGCCGTCGTTCTGCACCGAGTTGTTCCGGACGAATTCCATCGGACCGATGCGATGAACTCCGACGAGCATGTGCGACTGTTTCTTGATGATCGCCGCAAGCCTATCCTTGATCTTCCGCACCTTTTCCTGCGACATGTCGGGCATGACGAGACACAGCTGATTGTCTCGGGACAGGAGGTTTACCTTAAGATGGAAGAGAATGGAATCCGTGAATGCGATTTTGCAAAAGGATGGAATTCGTCAATGCGATTTTGCAGAATAATTGAATCCGTCAATGAGATTTTGTAAAAGAATGCAAATATGGTTCCTCAGGAGGATTTGGAGATATGATTTCTCCAAGATCAGGATTCGAGGTTTCTCAGATTTCTCTCTACGGACGATCGAGGGTCTCGGAAACTCACATAGACGTTGACACGTTGGCTGAGCGTTGCTCCTGGGTCGACAGGATTGTCTCTAGCGACGATCTTGAGCTTGATCGGCATCGTATGATTCTGACGGATATCGAAAGCTCGAGCCGATGAAATAGCACCGGTGTTCGAGTCGATTTTGAAGAACTCTCCTTTGTTCGTTTCGGGAACAATCTCATAACTGACTCGACCGTTTCCTTCGGAGTCCATGTCTTCGGCGGTGACCGTGATGACTTCTGTTCCTACTGCGCTGTCGATGTCGAGCGCTCCCAAATAGCTGTTCCCGGTGGGATCGGCCACCATTGGGGAAATGATGAAGTTGGGTCGATTGTCGTTGACGTCGCGGAGATTCACCGTCAGCTGAGCCGTCAGCCGAGAAGCGCTGAACACACCGGCACTCGCAGCCAACCGCACCGACAGAACATACTGTTGGAGATTCTCGAAGTCCAAACGAGTCTGTTGACTGATTCGAACTTCGCAATCGCCCTGAGGGTTCATTTTAGCGTAGAAATGCCCTCTGTCGTTGCCGCTATTGATGTGACAGTCGACTTGAGCCCGCACAGGTCGGTTGACAACCGGGAGCGCTTTGACGAGGGTGTCTTCGACAGCGTTCTCGTCGATCGAAACTTCGAAGTGGCCGTCTACGAACCCAATGCCCGAATCGGGGTGAACCATCGCTAGATGCTCTACGTATACGATGAAGGAGAGTGTCGTGCTGAGCGACGGCTCTCCCTGATCGAAAGCTCGGACTTCGATCGTGTACTCGGATGTGGGATCTTTCTTGAGATCGTCCTTGACCGTGACCATGCCGGTGTTGGTATCGATGCTGAAGAAGTTTTTCACTTTGCCTTGGCCGACCAATTCGTACCTGTTCGGAGTGGAAATCAGTTTTAGGGACCCGTCAGCATTCTCGGAAGCCAGCTCCATTGGACAGGCTCTAAATTTGGATTGGTTGGCTTATTTGATTGATGCATCACGTACTTGATGGAGTTGAGTGGCACCGTTCCGTCCTCGTCCTTAGCGACCATGGTCGCGACGACGGTTCCCACAGGAGCGGAATCTTGCAATCTTGTCGGCAGCGGTAGAGTCACGAACTTTGGCGCGTTGTCGTTTACGTCGCCGACGGACACTTTGACTTTCGTGGTCGCCTGCGGATCGTTCTCGTTCGAGTTTTCCTGGGTGCCGACCACGATCGTATGCGTCTGTGACAATTCGAAGTCCAGTCCTTTCACTGTCGATATGGCGCCTGACGTCGGATCGATGTAGAATAGTCGCCTGTCTCCCTCCTTTATCACGTATGTGATCTTATCCACCGTATCGGGATCGGTCGCTTTCACCTATAACGATTCACAAGTGTAAAATCCAGAACGAAAGGTCTTATTCTGTAGTTCTGAAAAGTTGTGATACCACTGAGGAAAGTCCGATCGTGCTGGACAAAGTTGTTGTACCTGGATCAGGAAGGTGTCGGGCTGGTTCTCATTGACTTTGACGTCGTAGTGGGACTGCTCGAATATCGGAACTTCGTCCTGCTCGTCCAAAACTCGAATGTTGACTTCAACTTTCGCACTGAGAGCGTTTTCTCCGTGGTCAGTCGCTGTCACGATCACGACGAACTCCTTCTCCGACTCAAAGTCGAGAGCTCTGCTCATGAAAAGAGGAAATAAAGGTTCAGAACCGACGCATCCACTATAGCCAGGACCACAACGATCATAGAATCCGAAGAAGGAGAATAATGCGGAAACTATTAATCGCTCCTTCCCGATCAATCCGAGCTCGTTGGAGGGAAGGCTCCCGAGAACACGCACCTTCTGGTGTATATTGAACCGTTGGCTCCGTTGATCGCGAAGGTGGATGCGGGGTCTTCAATCGAGTAGGTAATCTCTGCATTCCCGCCCAAATCCCTTGAAGAAAAGCCAGAGTTATGACGCAATGATAATTTCTCATTCTTCATGGGATCATTCCGTTTCGTTGGAATTCATCCGAATCTAAATAATGATCCCCACCTGTCAGAAGCTTTCACTTGTCCGACAAACGTATTCGCCAGACCTTCGGCGACTTCAAAGACGTAGCGATTTTCGGTGAATACGGGAGTTTCGTCGTTAATGTCCGTTACGGTTACGATAAGTGGCACGAGGTTGTACTGGAAAAGACTCACTTTAGGCCTGACTGCTAAAACCCTGTCAAGGCTCCGATCTGGTTCATTTCTGCAGACCTGACTGACAATACTTTGGGAACGAGAAAAAAATTACCAGCTCGCCGCTGTCGGCGGCTTTCAGCGTCAGGTTGTACGTTTCTTTAGCTTCTCTGTCCAAGCGTCCGATAACGAAAACAGTTCCGGTTTCTTGATCGATCGAGAAAGCTTCGTTGGTGTTTCCGTCGACGATTGAATAGTAAACAACGCCTCGTTCAGGATCGTTGGCTTTCACCGTCGTTACCGGTACTCCGACGGGAGAACCCTCGGCCACCTGCGGAGATCGCGTCTCACTCAGAACCTCGAGCTTGACAGAATTCGAACCGAATAGGAATTGCATCGATCTCGATGTGGTTCGCTCTAATGTTTGCGGAAAAAAAATCAAAGATGCTCACGCTCGCCCGGTACTCCTCTTGCAAGAAGATGGGGCCCCCGAGATTTGGTCCGGGGATCACCATGACCTCGATGATTCCCTGGGAATAGAGACCACCAGCATCGGTGGCTTGCACTGTGATCGAGAACTGTTCTCCGGCGTCGACCGGAGTTCGCACTTTGAGATCTCCCGTTTCCGGATCGATCGTGAACCTCGCCGCGCCATTATTACTGATGTGGTAGATGCTGTAGGTGAGTTTCGCGTTCTCTCCCTCGTCGTTATCTGCAGCCTCCACTTTCGTGACGGTCCGAACGCCATCCCCACTCTCCAGCGTCACGGGGTTGATCAGAGGCAAAACAGGAGAATTGTCGTTGATATCGTTGAGATGGACACGCAATTGGATCGGACGGGACAGACCTCTTCCTTCGGGCGTACCGACTTCCTTGGCTTGCACCTGGATAGAGAAGCAGAAGATCCTCACGTGAAACTGACACTCACTCGAGTTCAAGTCCATTATTTAGAGGAGAGAGAAACGATCTCCCAGATAATCCGCGAGAATTTCGCGTTTCTCACCTCGAACTCGTAAACGTTGGGATTCGGGGAGTCACGATCGAGCTGTGGCTCGCCGACGACTAGGAATCCTTCTATATCTACTTTGAAAACAGTCGTAGAGACCGCGAAGGAGTAGTATTGCTCCTTCTCCGACTGGAAGAGAAGAGAGGAAAAATAAGAATGAGCACCAAATCTGAATCTTTCAGAAAATCTCTTCAAGGCTCCAGAGTTCAGAACACTTCCGGACTCACATAATCCTCGTCTGTCACTTGGAACATTATCGGATCTCCTCCCCTCGGGGCGGACATGACTCGACTCCCGATCGGCGAGTTCTCATCGACGTAGCCTTCGAAGAAATTCGCCGAAAGGACCGGAGGATGGAGATCGGCAACGAGAACCTCGATGGTGAGCGAAGCCAAGGCGAAGCGACGGTATTCAGATTGTTCCTCAGCTTTAACCGTGATGCTATAGTGGGTTGTGACGGCTCTCGAAGCCGGGGCGATTTGACTGACTTCTCCCGTGACGTTGTTTATGGCGAAGATACTGCGGAAGTCCGAAGGACTTCCATCGACGAATGAATATTGTATGGGATGATCCATGGAATCCTGATCACGAGCATAGATGGTGTCAGGCCGAATGGGAAGAACTCCCTCAACGGCCCCGCTGGCGACTTCACTCCGATACTGGACAGCGTCGCATACCGGTCCACAGCCCTTGTAGAAGAACATCGGAGGCAGATCATCCGCATCTTCCACGTTGATTGTCAGGGTGGTGGTAGAGGTCAAGCGATCCGACGGCTTCATGGCTCTGTCCGCAGCGATGACTCGCAACAGGTACGCCTGGAAAGGATTGGTGCGATCGTGAGGCTCGAATTTATCGTTTCATTGACGGCCTATCATTTTAAGAAGAGGATCACCGACCATCATCCAAAGCTTTGTTGTATAACTGATGGAGAGGAAGATCATCACTCACCTTGCTCTGCTCGTAATCCAGGGGTTTCTTGATTGTGACAATGCCCTGATGCGGGGAATCGATGCTGAAGTACGAAGCGGCATCGTCGGCGTTTCCAGTTTCTTCAATGAAGTACTCCACGAGACCGTTGACTCCAGAGTCCGAGTCTGTCGCGGTGAAGTTGGCGAAAACCATCGTGCCCACTGGCGCTTCTTCGGATATCGACGTCGTGTAGTTCTCCGAAGTGAATTGCGGAGCGTTGTCGTTCACGTCATTCACTCGGACCAGGACCTGAACAACCTTCTTCCGCGACTGATCCTTTGCTTCGCAGCGGATCTGAACCCGAACCGACGCTAAATCTTCAGCCTAGAACGGATGATAATTTTCATTCTCCGAAAAAGATATTCGGTTCCGAGAGATCGGGTCAAGGAAAAACTGCGAGTTCTTTCGGCGAAGGATTCCCGGATCCCGGAGAATGATGAGTTGAAGTACTCACATCTCTGTCGAGTGGCTTTTGCAGAACGAGTTGCTTTCCTAGTATGGCGAAAACATCTTTTGAAGACGAGCTGATGCTCAGCTCTATCTCGTCGGCCTTCCCCTCGATCGGGAGATACGTTGGCGTCGTTCGCTGATCGAATTCTGTTCGAATTGTGTTGGGTGAAAAGCAAATAAAGGGTACCCTTCGACTTTCTCACGAGAAAGATTCCGAATACAAACCCCCCCCCCTGATGGAGTACACCGCAGCACCCATGAATACTCACGCTGCCCAATGCTCTCCAGGATGTCCATGATGACGACTTTCTCATTGTCTTCTATGTCGCAAACTGGAAAGTCAAAGGGAACCGATTATTTTCCTTCAGTATACGGAAATCATTCGATATCTTGACTTCACCATTCGCTTCCGTCCGAGTGATAATAATCCACGCCGCTTGGATCGCCACTCGGCGAGCCTCGTCGCCTGAGGTATCTTTGGATCCGATTAAGAATCAGCTTGGCTCGACCAACAACTAAACTTCGTCGAGCAGCCCCCCCCTCCCCCACCCCTTCTAGGTTCGGAAGTTTTCAATTGATGTCAAGAACGACCTGACGCTAATTTGATCTTCGGAGAAGAATAAGAAACGTCCCGGAAGCAAACCATCCAAAAACTGCGTGAGTCGAAGTGGAATCGAAGGAAAACCCGCGTGGTCAGTCTTTTGTACCGCAGCAGAATCGAACGCTGTTTTTGTAAGAGCAAGGACGATTATCAACAGCTTCTTTCGTTCTTTTCTGAAGATCGGGTAGTCGACAGCGCGCAGGTACCGCTTGCCGGCTGGCTGGCCTTTCGAATAAAACCCAAATGAAACCCAAACGAAACTCGAATGAAACGCGAATGAATGTAAAAATCGTTCGTAGAAGTTCCACAATTTGTACATAAACGAAGCGGAGCCGCCGAGAAAAACTCGCGTCCACACCGACGGCTATACGAGGAAGACTTCCAAGCGGAAACACCGAGGAAGAAGCGGGTAGATGGTGCATCTGGGAACTCGGAGGGAAGACGTCGAATATGGAAAAAGTTGCAGCGATGGAAACCCTGCCAGCGTGGCATGCCTCCCATTTTCCAAAGCAGGGGAAGCTTTTCCGAGCCCTTTATTGACAGAACGGTCTGGACTCGACTGGATTCTTGTACGAGAGCCAAGTTATGCAGACGTTCGGAACAAACGGCTCTGTCCGAGTTTCGAGTCCTTTCTTTGTGCACGGCTTTCGATGACTCGCACAAACACGGCGCCCGATCAGACAACCGCAACAACGTTGGCCAAAGTCCATTTCTCCGACTCTGTTCTTGTTACGTCAGTGGATTTGGACGTGACGGACTTTCTGAAACTTACGTGCAGCCCAAGCGGCGCTCTTCGTCAAGCTCAGGACGATGAGCCAGCATATCGAAACGGCTACGAACGGGGTCCGCTGTCTTCTCCCCATGCTGACTAGTTTATGACGGGGCGTTGGGACCTGAAAATGAAGAAAAATGCTTGAGCGGGAGTTCAGTGACTGGTTTTCCACGTATTTCCCCGATGATCGCATTTCGCATTCTCGTGCAGCGAATCTCAAGGGAATCCTGCGAGCCACAAGATCCAGCTGATGGATTGAAATAAAAATGAGTGCTCGAAGGCCGGCGAAGGTTCCAAGCCCGCGAGCGCGTACACAGGTCACGGAGCTAAACTATAAGGAAGTCGCTCAAGACTCGTAATGAATAATAAATGTTCGAACACAGAGAGTTCCCAGCGGCAGTTTAACGTTCAAATACAACGGTAACCGGAGAAAACTAAACAGTCGGAGCGGAATGCGGTCGATAACACCGCACAATCAGCGTCCAAGGTCGGTCGGCAGAAGACCTGATGTCAGTCAAGGTCTCTCGTAGGAAAGATGTTTTCATTAATCCAAATCGACTCATCTGCTTGCTCCGAGATGCGCTTGTCCAGAGACTAGCCACAATGCGCAAGACGAGCTCCTATTCTTGCGACACACTGAAGGCATGTGGAAGAATGGGAAATTCCGGGAGGTCTCGAGCATTTGAAATTTCTATAAAGCGACTGAGTTTGTCTTTTAAGTTGTCCCGCTGCCAACGATGTCATCAGGTCTTCTGTATCGGCGCGGCAGGGTGAAAAAATAATCGACACAAGCGTTGCCGTTACGCGAAAGACAATAACGTTACAGCGACCTTGACGAGCGCCTCGCGTGCTGCGACGAGTAGCGATCTTCTGAAACCGTTATTCTCATTTTCTGATCTATTCGTTCGATCGCCTCTCCGCATTCGACTGGATCCGGGGAGGTGTCGGGTAGCGCATTGGGCATCGGAATCTAAGATGCCAGGTCGCTCGCCCGCTCGCAGAAGCTCTCGAAATGGATGCTCAACGTGGTTGCCGGGCTCGCTGGGGGAAAAAATCTAAACATCCTCCTACACCGCGACTGCCAGGTGACCTTGTCCCTAACAACAACAACATCATCATCAGCCACAATGGGGATGATACCAGATCACCTTCGTAGTCGATTGCAGTCAGCGAGCTGGTCGGCCGTTTTGTGCTGCGTTTGCTTTCTCAGTCAGCTAGGGGCCGCTCGACCGTCACTCTGTGTCTTTCGCATCAGCTCCTTGACCATCACAGCAAGATGTGCCGTTGTCAAAGAACAAGCTCACGATTGGACAAATGCACAGAAACATTTGGCATTCTTTCGAAGATGACATCCAAAGTCTTCTGTTCCGGTCGGCGCGCAATCCCTGAGCTCGATCGTCGTGTCGATCTACCAAGACACTCTGAAAGTCTTCCGAGGCTCATCGCGAATTACGTCCGAGTCAGCTCGGGTTGCGGTCCCGGTCCACAAAGACACGAATACAGGTAGCTCGGGAACCCCCCAAGGACCAAGGCGCCGGAGAAAAATGAATCTCCGTTATCCCGCGGCCGATATTGCTGTTATAATTCCGTGGCATTGTCGGGGCTTATTGCTTCCGGAAACACGTATTTCTGTTTCTTTATCCTCATGATTTTTTCGTGCCGAACCGCAAATGGACTTCTCATTCATCACTGATGTCAGCCATTCCCCATAAATGATTTCGAATGATCCAGAAATGTTGAACCAATTCTACCGAAGTCGGCAGCAGAAGCAGCAACTATACACCACGAATTTCTTCTGGTCAGATGATGGTGAAGGTGATGATTATTATCATCTCGGCGATGGCGATTCCGTCATCCATGGCATTCGGAGCTTGTCGACTCGGCTCGGAGAACCGCAGAGCAATGCTCAGCTCGCGCTGGAACTGTTTTCCATTCATTCGACGGAACCAGAGTGAAAGGTGTACGCTTATACGGAGCCGTTGGGTCCGACGCCGAGCCGCTATGTCCGTCCCGTGCTTGCTCATTAGACGCTGCCTAGCAAATCTGTCCTGACAATAACTGAGTTCAATAGAAAGCAGCGTCAGCAGTGCGGCTGAGCAGTGGAGGCTTCTTTCCCAGACGCTCGGCTCGATGGGTCCACCCACGAAAATTTCACAACGGTGACATTTCACTGGGTGAGCTAAACAATGGAGACTGTTTGGGAGCATGGGGCAACGGTTTCACAGAAGGGTCCAGCGCTGCGGCGACCGTTGGAATACGAGCCCGCCGAACGCTTAGCCATCGCGCCGTAAAATCCAATGGAGGGATCTCAGGAAAATGTGAAACTCCGCGTAGCTGCTTCGAGCACCCAGAAGAGCCGATCAGTGGAGGCACGGAGGTAGAGCGATGAGGACGCGCATAAAGTATGCGAGCCTCTCTATCTGATGAACACGATTCAAAGCAGCCAATTCCCGAAGAAGACACGATACTCTTGGCGTTGAGGATGTTTATTCCACGGATATGTCCCATTCAGCGTCATCCTTGAATATCGTGTGGTTTTGACACGGCCTGTCTATTGGCCTCGCTGATCCCCGTCCAAATCTGGAGGACCGTTCGCTTGCTCGACACCAGCTGCTGTCGATCATAGAGACCTACGCCTTCACGAAGCATCCGTGAAATCTCATTGATAACATCGCCTAACTTTCGTAGGGCATCATCGAGATCGACCGCATTTCGCAGCGAGCCATTCCGACTCCGGTGATTGAACAGCCCATTTCCACGCGTTGGACACCAGAGAATGAAGTTCGCGGTGCTGAGCACGGTGGCCCACTATGATGTCCCCAAACGGAAATACTCTGGCGACGGCAAGCGGGAAGATTGTGAGGAATCTTGCTCTTGCTAGTGCAGAGCGCGAAGTGCGCTCCGGAGCACGACACGACGCGCACTATTACTGAGCTCAGTCGTTCTGGGCTTCTTCAAAAGAGACTGCGAAATGGAATGTGTTCGCCAAAGAGTCCACCTCGACGGTCAAATTCGGTGGATCGTCTCCATCAACGTAAGGACCATCGAGCCCTGCTCTCCACCCTTCACGCGTCGTTCGGAGGCATTGTAAAGACGGAATCGCGAGATCGGGAATTGCTGGCCGTGTACTGATGTCTTGAATGATGTCCGCTTGAATGTTCGCGAAACATGAACACGTCGGGATCGACCGGCGATGTGCCACGACATTCCGACACATAGTGATAGAGCGGCAGCATTCAGCATCCCCGATAGTATGACGTGACGATCAGGAGACGATTTCGAGAATGAAAATATATAAGATTTCAAGGAGCACCACCAGCAATGAGTTCCAGGGGAGAAGCTTCAGTCACTCGCAGAAACCCACGCTGACCCGAAAGTTTGAACACCGCTTCAATAGAGAGTACCCGGTGAAAGATCGGACTGTGACCTTGTCTTTCTCGAATGTATTATTCTCTACACTAGTTTATCGGATAAGGGTCTTTATTCCCGAAATGAGAAATCAAGGAGCATCAACAGTAGATCGAGCCCGGGGCATGGAAAAGTAAAAATGGCCTAGGTGAAGGTCTGACAGACGCCAAAGATCGAATGAGTGGAAATCGCCTTGAAGAGGCAGAATTTTTTTGTGACTGCGGCGGCAACATCAGACACGTGATCAGCGACGAGACCCCCAAAGAACTCGACGGACATCGTAAAACAGAACAAGCGCCTCGATCAAATGCCTGAAATGTGAGTTTTGGTGAAAGTCGACGCCGTCTGTCGTTTACTCGGACATAGTTGACCAGAAAGCGCGGCCGACGCAAACGACAACGAAGAGCACGAAGTCAAAGACGACCGAAAAATAGATGATGAAGATCACTATAAACGTGAGCCACTTTCTCGGCCACACGTAGGGCCGATGAACTGGAGGGTCGCTTCAGCGTCAAGTTCTGCTTTAACCGAAACGGGCCGAGGAAAAAAGCGGGGCGTTCCGACCGGAATTTTCTCTCCGAGAAACGTGCGCAGCTTTTTGGATGTAGTAGACTTCGATGTCTGGAATTCCGAGTCTTCGCCCAAGGACGGAGTCTTCGATCGGATCTGAGGTCAGCATGTGATTGAGACTCGATAGCGCCTTCGTGGAGCCCCGCGTCTCAAGGGCGAGCGGAATGAGGAGCGAGGTTTCGCACGACTGTCGGTTCCGGAGTCTTCGCATGACGATTTCGGTGTTTTTCTCGTGGTGGAGCTCAAGAGGGTCGAAGGGACGATCGAGAAGCCTCGCCCATTCGCAGTTTGCCTTTATGCGAGACAGCGATCCCATAAAGGATCGAGACAAGACACAAGGGTGCTATCGACTGCAAAAAAACGACATGGACTGAACGAGGATCGTGAGAGAAGTGTGCCGAAGGTTGAAACCAGAGCCGTCAAGAGGCCGTCGTCGAAGCAGAGTTTGTTTCCAGGGGAAGAAGAAGCGGCTTCGGATCACAAACTGAACGAAGCGACAAACAAGCATGGAGCAAGCGTCGTCTCGTGGGAACGCAGGTTCTCGAAACTGCTCGGGAAATGAGGCAAACTCGGGGATTCTCTCTTGAAATGAGCCGCGGCCGCGATGAGAACACTTTCGTTTTGTCGCTCCTTAACTTATCAAAGTTCTACCAATGAACTCCGTGCCCGGTATTTCCGGTATGGATTCTCTGGGGAAAAATCCGATCACCAGCATCTGAATCTGGTTCTGATTCGATCGAGAAGCGACGTTCACGTATAATTTCATCGTTCACTGAAGAAGCAACGTCAGCGTTACGTGTTATTCAAGAAACACCTTAGGGCCTCAGGTTTGACGAGGCGTATCGCGGCTTCAATCTGTGGATCCTAAGCCGCCGCACTGACAGCCTACAGATTTTTTTGCTCCGACGTCACTCCGCTTCACTTTTCCGTCGATTCCACCGAATACACGGCTGTCGTCGGAAACGGTGTTCGGAGGGAAGAAAAAAAGAACAGAAAGAATCATTTTCAGGGTGTGGACTCGTCGAATTCTTTTCAGACGCGGTAAGTTGGGAGTTACCACGAATTCCGTTGCTCTAGTATTTTCTTCGCCCGGCCTCTCACAACGTCTCACGTTTCAGTTTCGACCGTTTTCTACGGCATTTGTTGGCAACGAACTCGCGTGGGAACTGTGGTAGGTAACTGTTCATTCTTGTACCCCGAAACCTCTGCTCGATTGTATCGCTTGCCACACCGAGCCTCGTGGAATTTGAAGGGCACCAGGCGTGATGGACTCCGACTTTTCGACTCGGAATCGTGCGGAGTCGATTAGATTCCTGCTCCGTGGTCTGGAGCTTGTTCCTCGATTGGGCGTCGTGGTTCGCTTTTAATCCCGAGGTGAATCCTCGCGTTGCTAGAATGCCAGTCGTCATCAACTACCACGAGAAGTTGAATACTAGCTCCTGCCACGGTGGCTCGGAGCGCCATCCACCGCCTCGATCATTCGCCGAATTACAAGAATGGCACGTAACCGCGGACGTATTGAAACATGGCTGGAAGTCTTGAGCCTGGCAGGCGGAGTCATTCCAGCACAATAAAAGATTGAATAAACGAACGAGTCGCTAGTAGTGCCAGGTCGATTTGTTGATGGGTTGGCCATTGGCAAAAGACAGTCGAATAGAGCGTTCCGTCTTTGTGAGCGTGTGGGTCTTTCCTATGAATTTCAAACCCTTCATTCCAGAGCTTTCCGTATGCGTATAAATCGGCCGGACCGTGGGGAGGAATGACGACGACGGTTGCTCGGAGACTTGTTCGCTTACCGTCCACATCAAGATGCCGCTTCAGATTTGACCACGTGATACGACAGCGGAGCCGGCGGCTCCCCGCGCCGGTGGCGGCGACGACAACAGCAACGTGAACGATGAATTAAGTCACATCCCAATTTTAGTTTGTTGAACTCTCGCATCTTATGCCGCGCTAACGACATAACTATTGAAATATCACGTCGATTGTCATGCGGGAAAAACTTGTGAGTCGTGTCCTTTTCCTGCATTGCAATGGAGGGTTTCATTCAAAAGAAAAAATTCCCTGACGAGTATCACTGCGGTGGACCTGCGACCCCGCATCTTGGGCTTTCATTGCTGCTGGTTCTCATTGTTTCGAAATTTTCGCCGTGGAGCTCCGTGTATCCAACTCGAGAACCCCTTCCCGGAGCCTGCATGAGTTTCCCTCATTCGTTGCGGTCGCTCTCTTGAAAAGTATTTCCCATTCGAGAAGATCTGTTTTTGCCCCCAGAAGTGAACAGGATCCGGACTGGGCAACTTTATTCGCATAAGCACTTCATGGAACGGGCATCCACGATCCAGACTAAGAGTCGGAACTTTTTTCCATCCTTGTCTGGAAACGCATGCTTTTTTTTATTCGACATCGGTACCGGAACCGAGGAAGTTCCAAACGTCGTTCTCACCTATGCGTTCGGACATTTGCAGGCATTCAATGGTGTTCCAACGCACTTTCGTGGAGAAGTTCGCATTTCTCAAGGCGAAATCGTTTTACACCTCCACGAGTTGATTTTGATGGTTGTTTGTCCGCAAGAATGAACGAACGAGTTGCATCCCGCATTTTTTTCAGATTCGCGTGAATCCGATCGCGAAGTTCGAGTTGCTGAGCGTTTCAACTAACGTTGCATCCGTCACGCTCCACACATGCGCTCCGTCCGAAGACCTAGATTCTGACTTTGTCACCCCCGGCTCAAACCCAAACATGGTTTTCGAACGCTGAGGCAGAGTAAAAGGCTCCTCTGGATGGAAGGTGTGAAACAGAGCTGATGCGGTGGATCGGCTGTGCCCTTCATTGTTTTCTGTGTGATCTGGTCGTAACTCGTGACGAATGACGCGCCTCGTCCCAGACAAATCCTCCCTGTTTTTACCTTTGTCTTGGAATGTGACGATGCAGCTAGCATGGAACAAAACAATATCGAATGAGCGTGGAAGACCCCGAGACACCGGTGGGTGGGGACTTGACGCCAAAGCGAAACAAAGAAGACAGAATAAACCAACAGACAGACATTTAGTTGGAGGCGCTCGAACGACTTGTGGGGGAAAATGTCAGCGCTGTCAATTCTCACGGAGGGAGATGTGCCGGATCCGACCTGATTTCCGAAACGAAACTACTTGGAGCGTCTGCCAAATTCGAAAGCATTCCACAACGAATGCTCATTCTGCTGACCGCTCCACCTGTCCGCTTATCCATCTCACGCTCCCTCGCGTGTGTTTGAACGCATCGGATGATGAAGCGGAACTCTCTTTCTTCTGCGAAAAGTTCCACAGCATTCTGGTACGTTCCCGTAGTTAAACTTCCAGCCAACAGCATCCGAGAAGACCAGAGCAAACATTCCCGATGCCTCTGATTCACGATCAGAACATTGCCTCACAAGATTTCCGAGAACCGACGGGACCAGGATCAGCGAGCGGTGACCGGCTGAAAATCGTGAATTTCCCTGTTTGGGGGAGACAGGAGATCTCGCGGTCTCGATCGGGAGCCCCGGGCCCGAAGTCCCACCACTGAGATTTTAGACGTCCGCCGAGCTAGGGACACTTGAGCTTCTCCGAGTCGTCGTCCAATCTGTTTTTGGCTCATTTTCTCCGCTCGTGAGTCACAGGCTGTGACCCACAACCACTCATGAAGCCGGTTGTAGCCGTCCACACCATCATCATCGTTTGAACGTCATCATGTTGCTACGACTCAAGATCGCAACGTAGGAGCCCGCGGGGACTGAGAACACTATGAGCGTTTTTCC